AAAAAATGAATGCAAGTCAACGGGGTTAAAAATACTATTTTCTAATTCCGCTTGTTTTGTGCCATGGATTTCACATATGATATCCGTGAATTTTAAAGACACATTTTGATAACAAGAACACACTTATTTTAGAATGGGGGTGGGGGTGGGGGTGGGGGGATGCTATTTCAGGTTTTGTGTGAAATTAAGTCCAGGACTACGAATGCGCTTCACGAAAGTGCATCCAACCAGACACGGAGAAAACTGAGAGAAAATGACTGTAAGTTCAGCAAACTTCCAACAGGAGGAAATAACCACCATGAATCTGGTCATGTGGTAAGTAGCAACTACGCTGGGGGGAGGAGATTGTTTGGTGACGTCACATATGTAACATGCCAATTTCTGGTTTGTAGTCATGGTAATTACGAACTTTTACAAGTTAATAAATCTCAAAGTACGTGACTGGCATGGTTGAAACGCCCATCATTACTTTTCTTTTAAATTACATTACAACATGTGTGATCCAAGGTGTAAGGCAAAGCGGATTAGAAAATAGCATTTTTAGCTCCGTTGACTTGCTTTCAATTTTTCATTGTTCCGGTGACCTGTGAGCCGACCGGAAAGGGAGGAGTCTTAGGCTCCCTATTTACATCTGTAATCGGTTCTTCCACGTAAAATTCTGGGGTATGCCTTTGAGCCAAATCTGTTTGAGGGGGCAATGCCCCCTCTTGCCTGACCGTAGAGCTAGCCTTGCTGAGGTATTTGGTCTGTAGAGGTGATAAAAGGTATTTTTTTCTGCCATGGTTTTTGATGGGAGCTTGCTTTAGTTCTCCAGTCAGTGAGTCTTTCAGCTTCTGTCATGCAGTTTAAAATCTTTTCACCTTCATCTGATGAGCGGGGTCCTCATAATTAAAAGCCGCAGAACACAGGGTCTGAAGTCTGCTTCGGTCATTTTCTGCACAAACTTTGTGATTTACAACAAAAAACTTGTTGGGGAAATTTGACATCTTTGAGCAAATCCTGGTCCTTTTTTTATGTCCAACACAATCTCTCCATGGCCTCACCATACTCAGAGCAGTCACTGCTGCACCGCGCTGTACCACTCAAACACAGCCACTCCGTCCAAACTCACTAGCACCTCCATTTTTGCCTGGGGGCATTTTCCAAACCTCTCACTGACCACGGTTACCTGTGAAATGCCAAAGCTCAGTTGTTTTATTTACATGCAGAATATTCACAAGCTAATTTTCAATGACCATCTATGGCAAAAAGTGGGTGTGTCGTAGGCAGGATATGGTCCAGAAACAACTGGGCACACATTGAGGAAGAGTGGGATTTAGAGAGCAGGAATTTCGTGTGGTTGTGTTTTATAGGTCTGAAAATGATTTAGTGTGGTTTCTGCGGGGCTTCAGTAAACCTGTAGCAAGGGTTTTACACAACGTTTTTTAAAGGAGGCCCCAGGTCAGCATGTGATGGTGCTTAGCTACACCTGGTTGGAGGAAACAATTGGAGCTCAAGTGGTTTTATTGGCAGCTTCTGTTAGACATTTATTTTTTATGAGTTTCCTTTGAGCGTGACTCCGGATGAGAACAGAAGCTCGAAAAATGTGTTGGTTCTTGTTTTTGAGGAGTTTGAATTTTGTCCTTTGAATGGAGCGGAAGCTGCTGTTTGCCTTTGTTGGTACCTGTGGTTCATATGGTGTGTGTGTGTGTGTGTGCGCGTGTGTGTGTGCATGAGTGCGTACGCGTGTGTGTGTGCTTAAGTGTGTGTGTGTGTGTGTGTGTGTGTGTGTGTGTGTGTGTGTGTGTCTGTGTGTGTGTGTGTGTGTGTGTGTGTGTGCGTGCGTGAGTATATGTGTGTGCATAAATGCATACGTGTTTGCGTGTGTGTGTGTGTGCGTGAGTATATGTGTGTGTGTGTGAGAGAGACAAACAGGAATACATCAGTCCAGGGAGGGACACTTGCTCTCTAACCTGCTCGTGTTCACACAAACACACACCTCTAAAGGTCTTCCTCCACCACTCCGGTGGTCTGTTGGTGTGGCACGGGCCAGTTTATGACATGTTTCATTCAGAACTCTTCAGTTCAAATGGAACATTAGTGTACTAACTTTAGTTTAAGGAACCCAAGTGTTGTTTGTCTATGTTAGCCCATCATGCTCTGTGAGTTAGGTTCCTTCTGACGTCTAAATATTGGAACAAGTCACTGGTCCCTTTAAAGGCAAAATGAGCGTGGGCTATTGATGGAACAGCCTGTTGTCATACTGAGATTTCTACTATGTAAAAAAATAAATGTTTATTTACAGACACATCTGCGCTCACCTCAAGGATGATCAGGACCACCACTCTAATACAGTGTTTGACCCACCGTTGTTGGACCTAGAATCTGGATTCTCTGTTCTAGATGGTTTGTTGGTGACCCAGAATGGTGCAATACTGCAGGCCAGGGAGACCGTGCTGACTACACTCACTGGCCAATCTGTAAACGGCTGTTTTATAGCTCCTGTAATGCCCCCCCAGGCAGCTATAACCACTCTGTCGCACTGCAGATGCAACCCCAGCAACACTGATCAACATGGGGGCACTTAGGCCAGTAGAAGAAAATCAGAATTTGCTGTTGAACTGTGTTTCATCAGATTTATTTCAGAAAAGAAACATAAGAAAATTATTTCAGTTAGAATGATGCAACCCTCAAACGAATGTTAAATTCATTCTCAAGCCACAGAGAAAATGCTCAAAGTTTAGAGCTCGTCAAAAATTATTGTGAGGCAAGCCTTATGTTTAGTTTAGTTTAGTTTAGTTTGGTTTAGTCTGGGTCAGTTTGGTTTAGTATTATTGAACAATGACAGCATAAACACAATGTTACATGAAGGGCAACCGTTGTTTTGTATGCAGGTTTTCTGTCCAGAAGCTCATTTGCAAACCTGGTCCTTGGTTGGACTTTTAGAGACAATCAAGTAACAGGATTTATTAAATTTATCACAACACACACTCACACACACACACACACACACACACACACACACACACACACACACACACACACACACACACACACACCTGGGATCAGGTAGACTAGTCTAACATAAATGACTGATAACACGCCTGAGCAGGGGGCCTACAGAGCTCTCAGTACCCTCACACGTCTGATGATTAAAATGATGCACTGTATAACATTAACTTATGTTCAAAGTAATACATGTAGTTGTTAGGTGACCTACTAAACAGCAGGCTGGAGCTCCAGCACCCACACTGAAGGTGGGTTTGATCACCCTCTCCAATAAGGACCACCACAGCAGCTCAAACACAAAAGGTTGTCACCCACAGTGGAGACGAGAACTTATCTGCCTCACAGCAGATCAAGTTTATGGAGAGCTGGAACAGCTGTGCTTAAACAAGGCTACAGGTGTGGATGGAGCACTGCAGCTGAAGGTCTGAGCACGAGTACTGGGCCACCCCTTACTCCAGAAGGGAGGGTCCTTCGATTGTGGAAAACATCTGGTATTAATCTTGTGCGGAAGAAATCACCTCCTGGTGAGCTGAAAGACTTAAGGCCAGTCGCTCTGATGTCATATGAAGAAGACCTTGGAAAGGCTGCTGCACCTCATCCAGGGCTGCAGACCCATCACGCTCTCGACCCTCTGTGGCTTGTTTACCAGGAGATGGTGGGAGTGGAGGATGCTCTTATCTTCTTGGTCCAACTATCCCTATCTCACTTTGACAGAGGCAGAGGTGCCGTAAGGATCTTTGATCGTTGCATCGGAAGCTTTTAGCGAGGTCATTTAAGATCATCTCTGATTTTTGTGCAGAACTGAACCAGTGGTTTATCAGAGAGGTCCAACAAACACATGCATCTCTAGCTCCTCTGAAGGAACAGTAGCCAATGCATCATTACATTTAGAACTATTTCCAGATGTTTTCTGATGTTTACGGTGTTTCATAATAATAATCTGTTATTATACGATGATGGTCCTGTTGGCTTCATCAGAGCGTCACCTCTGGCTAACATTGGAGCGGTTCGCAGCCGAGTGTGAAGCAGCTGGGATGAGAATCAGCTCCTCTAAACCTGAGACCATGGTCTTGATTCAGAAAAAGGCAGAATGCCTTCTCCAGGTCAGGGATGAGGTCCTTCCCCAAGTGGAGGAATTTAAGTATCTTGGGGTGTTGTTCACGAGTGAGGGAAAGATGGAGCATGAGATCGATGGGCGGATCTGTGCTGCGTCTGCAGTGATGCGGGCGTTGTACCGGTCTGTCGTGGTGAAGAGAGAGCTGAGTCAGAAGGCGAAGCTCTCGATTTACCGGTCGATCTACGTTCCTACCCTCACCTATGGTCACGAGCTTTGGGTAGTGACCGAAAGAACGAGATTGCGGATACAAGCGGCCGAAATGAGGTTTCTCCTCAGAATGTCTGGGCTCTCCCTTAGAGATAGGGTGAGAAGCTCGGTCATCCGAGAGGGGCTCAGAGTAGACCCGCATTTTCTATAAAATCACGCTGCTGGTTCTTTTTCAGCAGACTGTTGCAGCAGTTAGACAGTATAACATGTAAACGTGAAAGTTTTCACGAGCGCTGATGTAGTGCATTTTATTTCCATGTTGAATTTACGGATTAATCAGAAACACAAGAGGATCAAATCCATGAGGAACCATAACGGTGATGTGTAGAAACCACACGTGGGCCTGCCAGTTCTCAGTAACGCGTTGAATCGTTTCACATTGCATCATTATCAAACAGTTTGTCTGCAAATAATTGAATCGCCCAATAAATCGTCAGCAGGGATGAATTGTACCGGTAGAGTGTTTCACCGCGTTTCTGACACGGATTGTTATGGCCCACATGATGGGGACTCACATCCCTAGGACACACATCTGGCACGGCCAATGAGTGATGTGTAAAGAGTGCACAGGAGCAGGAGTGTAGAGGTCTGCTTTAGGACTTTGCAACATGGTTTGACATTTATAAGCATAGCTGATGTTGTGGTGGTCCTCCTGAGCTTTCCTTCTCTTCCTCCATCTTCTCCTCAGACACCCGCTGTTTCCTCTGCTGGCGCTGTTGTTTGAGAAGTGTGAGCAGGCCACACAAGGATCTGAGTGCATCACGTCTGCCAGCTTTGATGTGGACATTGAGAACTTTGTCCACCAGCAGGAGCGAGAACATAAGCCTTTTTTCAGTGAAGATCCAGAACTGGACAATCTGGTAAGTAGACGGCAGAAGTTGCAGATTTGAAGATTTCCAGGTAACTGTCAGCATTTGCTGAAGTTAACGTGGATAAAACAGGTTATTAGAGGTACGTGCTCGTAAATGCTTTGGGTTATTTTCAGGTGTTCCAAAAAAATCTACAAATCAGAATTGGTTCTCCTTTCTGTTTTGATTGTTGGGACAGCAGCGGCTCAGGAGGTAGAGCGGGTTGTCCAGTAATCGGAAGGTTGCATGTTTGATCCTGGCTCCAACAAGAGAATGCTGCTGTTGCATCCTTGGGCAAGGCACTTAACCCACCTTTACTGTTGGTGGTGGTCGGAGGGAACGATGGCGGCTGTGCTCGGCAGCCTCGCCTCTGTCAGTGCGCCACAGTGCAGCTGCGGCTACATGGTAGCTCCTCACCACCAGCGTGTGAATTGGTGACTGACTGATTGTGTTGGAAAGCACCTTGGGGGGTTGTAGAACCCTAGGAGGGTGCTTTATGCATACAGGCCATTTACCTAAAGTGGCTCATGAGAGAAACGCTTATCTTGTATTTATTTTGTTCCTTTCTGAGTTCTACAACCCCCCAAGGTGCTTTACAACACAGCAGTCATTCACACATTCACACGCTAATGGTAATAAGCTACAATGTAGCCACAACTGTCCTGGCACACAGAGCAACACAGTCGGCACCACCGGTTCCTCCGACCACCATCAGCCAAGGCAGGTGAAGCCTCTTGCTCAAGGACACAACAACTATGACAGACTGAGCGGGGTGCAAACCTGCAACCCTCTGGTTACGGGGCAGACATGCAACTCCTCTGCCACGTCACCTCCTAGTCACTCCCTTCCTCTTTCAACATCCGTCGTGATCCTGGTGACCTACAGAGGAACGTGGAGGGAGAAAGAGTACAGCCTTGTCATCACACACTTCAGAGGGCAAGCTGACAAGTGCTGAGCACTCACAACGTTGCATCTGTGAGTTTTATGAGGCTCTGGATGTTCATCCCTCCCAGAGGACTCCCACTCTCCCAAAGGGATTCAGTAAGCGGCCTGACTGCAGCGATGGAACAAGTTACTGCTCTCCTGATTAATTAGCTGATTTATCTTCTCCCTGGCCAAGCACTTTTCTGACCGTTCTGTCGACCTTCTGTAGAGACTTTGAGGCACAGTGACACCAAGGCACACACAAGACCTTTAGCCAGTAAATCTACACAGAGGACTGTTCACTGGCATTTCATGTAGCTAGAGATAATTGTTCTATAGCAAACTCTAAAGTTCTCTTTTCCAATTCAAATGGCACTCCAAATCCTTTAATTAGGTGATGTTTGTACGTTAAAAAAATCTATTAAAGTTTAAACTTTTGCAGGAGAATCTTGTGGTCCGGACCGACTAGACTAGTCTCTTGACTGTTGTTCACACAAATATCTGACAAAATCAAATGACGTGGTAGTCAAAAGGCTAAAGGTTACAGCCTCTGGCTCACATTGTGAGGAGCAGTGGAAGACTCGGGTGATTCCAGATGTTTGTGCCATTGGGTTGATGAACAAATCAGCCTCTCTGAGCAGAAACAAGGACAAGGGTATAAACAACCTTAAGCCTTTGTCCTTGGATCTTAAGCTCACAGTCTGGTCCAGATGAGCTCATAGATACAAACTGCTCCGCCAAAAAGATCTGTCTGGCAAAAACTACTGTCACAAGGAGCAGATGATCATAAACTCATTTATCAGCACATACATGGAATTAAAAAGAGTCCATGACTTTGTTGTGTTCCTCAGATGGTGAAAGCCATTCAGGTGCTGCGGATCCACCTACTGGAGCTAGAGAAGGTCAACGAGCTCTGTAAGGACTTCTGCAACCGTTACATTACTTGTCTCAAGACCAAGATGCACAGTGACAACCTTCTCCGCAATGATCTCGGAGGGCCCTATTCTCCATCCCATACCGATCTCAACATGCAGCAGGTAATTCCTGCAAGTCTCCAAGTACTGTTTACAGAATCCAGCAACTTCAGCTTTTAGTAAAACCAACAGGACATAACCTGGCATTAACCTGTAAATCTAAAGTTTGTTGACATTTTAGAGTGATATGAAGCTTACCACTTTGCTGCTGTGTCCGTTACGCCACATTCAGAAGGAAATGACTTATTTTAGACGAAGCATTCGGTACTAGCCACTAGCCTGGGAGACATGAACACACACACACACACACACACACACACACACACACACACACACACACACACACACACACACACACACACACACACACACACACACACACACACACACACACAGACACACACACACACACACACACAGTAACACACAACTTTCTTCTTCCGTCTTTTAGCAGTAGTCAGCAGCTTCTGGGTTTTAAACACTGCCACACCACCCTTCCTTAAAGCGAGGAATTTTGAGCTGTGTGGCTAAAATAACAGACATTCTGCATTCTTCCAGTTGGACTACAAAAATCTTAGCGAGAAGAAAAAATGGCAGATTGGCTCTGTGTTTAGCTGGATGTCCAGGACCACTTTTGGCAGTTATCGTGACGACATAGTCACAAGATTTATTAGACAAATTTAAAAACTGAACAGGTGGACAAATATGACCAAAACCTTATAATAAAATATCTAAACAGCCCCTCTAGTGAATAATATAAGGCTTTTTTCACACTTAAAATGTGAAACACACTGTATATTAAGGGATGAAAAAGCAAGATTTTTCATGTTTCCTTTAAATGGCAGGGTGCAGTTATTCCTAATGCTTGTTCACTTTTTCTACCACATCTTGTCCTACCCTTCAGCTCTCTGTTCATGTGGTTGGAGACAGAGCTCTGGGAACAGTGATGACTGTTTGTGTCTTGCCCTCCTTGTGCAAGGTGTCAATGGCCGTCTTTTGGACAACTGTCAAGACAGCAGTCTTCCCCATGGTTGCGTAGCCTACAGAACTAGACTGAGACAATTTTAAGGCTTTTGCATATGTCTTCTTCGTCTTCGTCTTCCTCCGCTTATCCGGGTCCGGGTCGCGGGGGCAGCATCCCAACTAGGGAGCTCCAGGCCGTCCTCTCCCCGGCCTTGTCCACCAGCTCCTCCGGCAGGACCCCAAGGCGTTCCCGGACCAGATTGGAGATGTAACCTCTCCAACGTGTCCTGGGTCGACCCGGGGGCCTTCTGCCGGCAGGACATGCCCGAAACACCTCCCCGGGGAGGCGTCCAGGAGGCATCCTGGACAGATGCCCAAACCACCTCAACTGGCTCCTTTCGATCCGGAGGAGCAGCGGTTCTACTCCGAGTCCCTCCCGAATGTCCGAGCTCCTCACCCTATCTCTAAGGCTGAGCCCGGCCACCCTACGGAGGAAACTCATTTCGGCCGCTTGTATCCGCGATCTCGTTCTTTCGGTCATTACCCAAAGCTCATGACCATAGGTGAGGATTGGGACGTAGATCGACCGGTAAATCGAGAGCCTGGCTTTCTGGCTCAGCTCCCTCTTCCCCACGACAGATCGGCTCAGCGTCCGCATCACTGCAGACGCCGAACCAATCCGCCTGTCGATCTCCCGATCCCTCCTACCCTCACTCGTGAACAAGACCCCGAGATACTTAAACTCCTCCACTTGAGGTAGGACCTCTCCCCCGACCCGGAGGTGGCAAGCCACCCTTTTCCGGTCGAGAACCATGGTCTCAGATTTGGAGGTGCTGATCCTCATCGCAGCCGCTTCACATTCGGCCGCGAATCTACCCAGCAAGAGCTGAAGGTCAGAGCTGGATGAAGCTAGGAGGACCACATCATCCGCAAAAAGCAAAGACGAGATTCTCCTGCCACCAAACTCGACACACTCCACACCACGGCTGCGTCTAGAAATTCTGTCCATAAAAGTGATGAACAGAACCGGTGACAAAGGGGCAGCCCTGGCGGAGTCCAACCCTCACTGGGAACAGGTCCGACTTACTACCGGCTATGCGGACCAAACTCACGCTCCTCTGGTAAAGGGACTGAATGGCCCTTAACAGAAAGCCACCCACCCCATACTCCTGGAGCGTCCCCCACAGGGTGCCCCTGGGGACACGGTCATAAGCCTTCTCCAAATCCACAAAGCACATGTGGATTGGTTGGGCAAACTCCCATGCCCCCTCCATCACCCTTGCAAGGGTATAGAGCTGGTCCACAGTTCCACGGCCAGGACGAAAACCACATTGCTCCTCCTCTATCTGAGATTCAACTATCGATCGGACCCTCCTCTCCAGTACCTTGGAGTAGACCTTTCCATGGAGGCTGAGGAGTGTGATCCCCCTATAGTTGGAACACACCCTCAGGTCACCCTTCTTAAAGATGGGGACCACCACCCCGGTCTGCCACTCCCTAGGAACTGCCCCCGATGACCACGCAATGTTGTAGAGACGTGTCAACCATGACAGCCCTACAACATCCATAGCCTTGAGATACCCAGGACGAACCTCATCCGCCCCCGGGGCTCCGCCGCTGTGTAGTTGTTTGACTACCTCAGCAACTTCTGCCCCCGAGATCGGACAGTCCATCCCCAGGCCTCCCAGCTCTGGTTCCTCCTCGGAATGCGCATTGGTGGGATTGAGGAGCTCCTCAAAGTATTCCTTCCACCGTCCGACTATAGCCTCAGTTGACGTCAGCAGCTCCCCATCCCCACTGTAAACAGTGTGAGCGAGTTGCTGCCTTCCTCTCCTGAGGCACCGGACAGTTTGTCAGAACCTCTTTGGAGCCGATCGATAGTCTTTCTCCATGGCCTCACCAAACTCCTCCCACGCCCGAGATTTTGCCTTGGCAACTGCCACTGCTGCACCCCGCTTGGCTATCCGGTACCTGTCTGCTGCCTCCGGAGACCCACAGACCAGCCACGCCCTGTAGGCCTCCTTCTTCAGCCTGACGGCTCCCCGAACCTCTGGTGTCCACCAGCGGGTACGGGGGTTGCCACCACGACTGGCACCGGCCACCTTACGACCAAAGCTAGCAACAGCCGCCTCGACAATCGCAGAGTGGAACAAGGCCCACTCGGACTCAATGTCCCCCACTGCTCTCGGGACGTGGTCAAAGCTCTGCCGGAGGTGGGAGTTGAAGACCGTCTTGACAGGTTCTTCTGCCAGGCGTTCCCAGCAGACCCTCACTATGCGTTTGGGTCTGCCAGGTCTACGCGGCATGTTCCCTTGCCATCTGATCCAACTCACCACCAGGTGGTGATCAGTTGACAGCTCCGCCCCTCTCTTCACTCGGGTGTCCAAAACATACGGCCGCAGGTCAGATGATACGACTACAAAATCTATCATCGACCTGTGACCTAGGCTGCCCTGGTACCAAGTGTACCGGTGGGCATCCTTATGTTCGAACATGGTGTTCGTTATGGCCAAACTGCGGCTTGCACAGAAGTCCAATAACAAAACACCGCTCGAGTTCTTATTAGGTGGGCCGTTCCTCCCAATCACACCCCTCCAGGTCAAGCTGTCATTGCCCACGTGAGCATTGTAGTTCCCCAGCAGGACAATGGAGTCCCCTGATGGAGCACTATCTAGCACTCGTCCCAGGGACTCCAAAAAGGGTGGGTACTCTGAACTGATATTTGGCCCATAAGCACAAACAACAGTCAGGACCCGTTCCCCGACCCGAAGGCGCAAGGAAGCTACCCTCTTGTCCCCCGGGGTAAACCCCAACACACAGGCAGAGAGTCTTGGGGCTAACAAAAAGCCAACCCCAGCCCTCCGCCTCTCACCCGGAGCAACTCCAGCAAAGTAGTGTCCAACCCCTCTCCAGGTCTCGGGGTCCAGAGCCAATGCAATGTGTCGAGGTGAGTCCGACTATATCTAGCCGGTACCGCTCAACCTCTGCCACAAGCTCCGGCTCCTTCCCCGCCAGCGAGGTGACGTTCCATGTCCCAAAAACTAGTTTTCTTGTCCGGGGATTGGACCGCCAAGGCTCCCGCCTTGGTCTGCCACCCGATTCGCATTGCACCGGACCCTTCATGTTCCTCCTGCGGGTGGTGGGTCCACAGTTGGACGAGCCCATTTATCCGGTTCGGGCTGGGCCCGGTCGGGCCCCATGGGTGAAAGCCCGGCCACCAGGCGCTCGCTCGCGGGCCCCAACCCCAGGCCTGGCTCCAGGGTGGGACCCCGGTAACCCTCCGGGCCGGGTACTCCGACTCTTCGTTTTAACCGCCATGAAAGATCCTTCGATCCTAAATCTAATATAAAAGTTTCACTTTTTGAGTGGAATTACTGAAATAAATCAAATATTGTCATGATATTCTAATTTCATGACCAGCACCTGTGCATCGCCACACACCGTTAGCACACATGCACACGCACACACATCATTGGTCAACCTGTGGGTGAGGGGTGATGGCTGAGTCTTCACCCCTGCTTCTTCTGCCCTCCAATCTCTGTCAATCAGGTGGGGCTGAGGGTCTAGAGCTACCTGCGGGTCTTTGAGGCTGTTGCAAAGATGGATGGGTGGGAATGGATGCTCATGGGTTAGGACATGGTCTGGAGGCCCTGGCCTGTGCTGCAGCATGGTGAGTGGCTGTCTGTTTGCATGGGATCTCGGGCATCTTGGACTGCCTGCTGCTTTGGAGGCTATTCCTGGAAAAGGGAGGACCCTCCACTGTTTGGCCCCACAATTTTTGCGGCCAAAGGTGTCCTCTCAAACTCCCATCTTCACAATCCCTATGGATTGGGGACATGGTTGGGGGTTGGAGATAAATATACCTGAGTATCTTAAGCATAACTGTGGAAGTTTATCCCATGCTGTCTGATAATTTTACCAATTGGAACAACATTAATGGTAAAAAGATTTGGTCAAAGCACAGATCCCTGTTGTACACCACAAGTAACCTTAAAGTAAGAAGATGTCTCATTTACATGAACTGACTGAATTCTGTCAGACAGATAAGATTTTAACTTCCTCCTCCAACCCCCATAAATTCCTGTGTGTCCTCCCACAGCCCTCCCAAAGAACAACAGACATCAATAATAGCACAAAAAACGTCCGACGTGTTTTGTAAACACTGCTTTTTTTTAGCATATTTTTAGATCTGATGCGTTGCTACCAGAAGTACGGTGCGAGAAGTCAGGTTGCACCCAAGATGCGATTTGTGCAGTTTGAGCTGAAGCTGAATGCTATGAGTGACAAAGTCACACAGTGTTGGGGAAAAGATGGTTCAGAGCTATTATTCTGTGTAAGTTTGGCACCTGTACTGACAATAAATTTAGGATTATTCTCAAATGCACAGTTCTAGTTTGTCAAAGCTTATTTTTATAAAGCACAAGACTATTTTTCAAGGATAAGTAGGACTCCTCCTGGTGTGTAGAGCGTCATCTTCTCTCCAATTTTCTAGAGTTTTGTTTTAAAGTTCATAAATGAGAATTAAACCAGGGAACCAATTTCCTGTGCTTAATTTCCTTCTTTGTTAAAGGGGCAACATCATCTAATGCCACATGTAAAGAGGAAGTAACATTATGAACTAAATAATCAATTTGTGAAGATCTAGAAATGAAGATATTGCCCTCTGCTAAGTTCCACTGAGATGCTGAGGACAGCACTCACATCATGTCTGTTAATCCTTTGGTAGACTCAGGTCCAAATGCATTTTGGTCTATTTGTAGCAATATTCCAATATGCTGTTGCCAGTGGTTATTTGTACCTCTCTGAATGCAGCTGTTCACTGTGTCTCATGTGATCTCCAGGAGCTGATCCAAGCCTCCTCTACATCGTTGACTTCAGTTTCCAGTTCTGCTAACCCTTCAGGGATCGTTGTTCCCACAGGAGGTCTGCAGCAGGGTGCAGTCACTATGACAACCATCAACTCCCAAATAGTTTCAGGTGACTACGTGACCACAGCACAAGCAAACCTATTTTAGTGAAGTGATATTTTTGTCTCATGTTGTTATGTTTACTTCTGTTAACAGTAGAGCCTTTCTCACTGCAATTAGCAGGCTTTCCTCTCGTAGCCCCAAAACATGAAGGTTAGGCTAACGGGTGAATCTGGATGCTATTTAGTTGAGTTTGTGTACGTGGTTAAGGTGTAATTAGTAGGTTTCCCTCAGCGCTTTATAAGACTGGCGGCCCACCAGGCTTTGCTTGGCCACCCACCAGGCAAAGCGTCATGCCCCGCCCCTCTCCCCCACCCTACCGTGTCCACTGACAGGAAAGGCGCAACGAAACTAGAGCCCTCCATCAGCTGATGCTGGTGAGAAACAGCAACACACCCCCACCCCCCACCCCCGCTCTCATGGAGGAGCGCTGGTGGACGGAGCGCCTGATCCCCCCCAACCCAATGGCTGAAGCCGCCAGGCTTAACTCATTTTCCGGGGGAAACCCTGAATTAGGGTGAATGTTGTGTTGGTCCTCTGTTAATAAAACATATTAACAATGGTATGATATATCTACTAACAGTTTTTTGGGTGAAACACCAAGCTATTATAAGTCCAGTATTATTCTGACAGCAGCTTTAGCTCTGAAGGTGTGTTGTGTTTATGGTGTTCTGACTAATCCTGCCCAGAGGACATCCATCTCACTTCCTTTGATCCTGATACCCTGTGGAGCTCCGACACACACCTCTGATGACCTCTGATGAGTGATCAACACTAATAAAGCTAGGAGCAATAAGACCCCACCCTCAATTTAATTAGAGGGGTTGAAGGTCATGAATGCAGCTTGATTCAAATCATTAACATTTTTGTTTTCTTGCTCTAGTGGTACTGTGGGATGTGGAGCTGCTGAGGATACTTGATTCTTATTGCAACGGTTTTTCTCCTCAGGTGGGACCCTGTACCAACCTGTTGCCATGGTGACATCCCATGCACAAGTATTAACACAGGCACTACCTCCAGGACCCATCCAGATACAGAACTCACAGGTGATAATCCACTGGTGTTTATGTATTTATTTATTTTTCTTAATGTGTTTAACTGGATATGAATTAACAAATAAAATAAACTCTGTCAACTCTGTACAAGTTACATCTGAAGAAAAACAGCAGCATTAAAGAAATGCACCAAGAAAGAAAACTTGTTAACTAGAAAGATGTCAGCCATCAGAACAGCTCACACTGTCAGAGACCAGAAAGCGACGGGTCACCTCCCCACCTACCCAACTGACGGAGACCGGTCATACATTACTTCCTTGTTAAAATATGTCCAAACTGCTAAATTCTTTACTTCTCTAAGGTGACTTACTAGCTCTGCATTAGCCAGCTAGCTAAGGCCAAGGGGTCAGTACGTGTGTGAGATGGGCGTTAGCCAAAGGCTGGGTCCTTGGTGGTCTGATCCTCGGCTACAAAGCTAACTCTCAGTACATGGAATATCCCATCTCTGAGCCAGAGTTTATGTTCATGTTTATGTTTATGTATTTATCAGACGTTTTTGTCCAAAGCGACTTACAAGTGATAATCGGCATGTTACCCTTGAGGCTAACAACAATAACAACAACAACTTGACATCAATCATGGAGAGGAGGGAACGAGGAGTGGACAGTAGAGAGGGGGGACGTGTGCAGGGAGGGTGCTAGTTAAGAAGATGCTCTCTGAAGAGCAGGGTCTTCAGGAGTTTCTTGAAAATTGAAAAGGAAGCCCCTGTTCTGGTAGTGCTTGGAAGGTCATTCCACATTTGTGGAACAATGCATGAGAAGAGCCTGGATTGTCCTGAGTGTGGTGTAGGCACTGCTAGCCGACGATCCTGTGATGACTGGAGCGGCCGGGCCAAGACGTAAGCCTTTGCAAGAGGATTCAGGTAGATGGGAGCCGTACCATCTCGGACTTTGTATGCTAGTGTTAGCAATTTGAATTTGATGCATGCTGCTAGCGGTAGCCAGCAGAGCTCAATGAACAGAGGGTTGACGTGTGCTCTTTTTGGCTGATTGAAGACCAGACGCTCCGCTGCGTTCTGGACCATTTGAAGAGGTCTCACAGCACAGCCTGGAAGACCAGTTAGAAGGGCATTGCAGTAATTGAGGCGGGAGATGACGGTAGATTGCACCAGGAGCTGGGTGGCATGTTGTGTTAGGTATGGTCTGATCTTTCGTATGTTATACAATGCAAAGCAGCATGAATGAGCAACAGAGGAAACATGATCTCTAAAGGTCATCAATCACAACACCCAGATTTTGAACTGCCTTTGAAGGAGCCAGAGATAGGAAGTCATTTTGGATTGAGATATTGTGCTGTTTGGATGGTTTTGCTGGGATGACAAGTAGATCAGTTTTAGAGAGGTTGAGTTGGAGATGGTGGGATTTCATCCATTTTGATATGTCAGAGTGACAGTTTGATATTCGTGCAGAGACAGTGTGGTTGTCCATTGGAAATGACAGATAGAGCTGGGTGTTGTCTGCATAGCAGTGGTAGGAGAAGCCATGTGATCGAATGATCTCACCCAGAGAGGTGGTGTATATGGCAAAGAGAAGAGGTCCTGGTACAGAGCCCTGGGGGGACTCCTGTGGCAAGATGGTTCACGGTAGAGGATTGTCCAAGCTAAGATACACTGAATGATCATCCTGTGAGGTAGGATTCAAACCAGGCATGTGCTTTCTCTGTGATGCCCATGCTAGAGTGTGGACAGAAGGAAGCCACGGTTGACAGTGTCAAATGCAGCAGATAAGTCAAGCAGGATGAGCACTGAGGATTTGGCAGTCGCTCTAGCTTCTTTTAAGGATTCCGTCACTGCTAACAGAGCAGTTTCAGTGGAGTGGCCCTTTTTGAACCCAGATTGGTAAGGGTCAAGCAGACAGTTTTGTGAGAGGCATTCTGTGATCTGCTTGAAAGCCGCCCTTTCAATGATTTTGGACAGAAAAGGGAGGAGAGAGATAGGTCAGTAGTTCTCCACATGATTTGAAGGAAGAGATGTTTTTTTTCTAGCAGCGGTTTAACCTGAGCATGCTTGAGAGAGGTCGGAAATGTACCGGATGTCAGTGAAGCGTTGATCACATGTGTGACTGCTGCGGCTACTGTAGGAGCAATAGCTTGGAGCAGCTTAGTCGGAATGGGGTCAAGTGGGTATGTAGTAGGGCGGCTGCATATGAGACACTTGGACACACAGTTCTCAGTGAGAGGGGAAAAGGAGGAAAATGAAGCAGTAGGGCTTGAGATAGTTGGGCTAGAAGGAGTTTGTGTTCAGGAGTGGCCAGCTGAGTAAACTGTTTGCTTATAGCTGCCACTTTGTCAGTGAAGAATGAGGAAAAGGTGCCAGCTGATAGATTGTTGGTAGGAGGTGGAGATGTAGGGTTGAGCAGAGTTTTGAATGTTGAAAATAGTTTCTGAGATTCAGTAGAGCTGAGAATTTTGTCAGTGTAGAAGGCTTTCTTTGCATCAGTGATGCTGGCAGAGAATGAGGACAGTAATTCATGAAATTTCAAATGATCACCAGGATCTTTTGTTTTTCACCATTTCTGTTCCGCAGCTCTAAGATTGGTGCGTAGAGACCGGAGGGTATCATATAGCCAAGGGTGCAACTGAGAGGATCTAGCTGGTCTAGTGGCTAAAGGGCACAAGATGTTAAGACAAGAGCAGAGTGTGGAGCAGAGTGACTCGGTGGCATCATTCACTTCATAAGCAGAGAATGTGCTGGGAGAAGGAAGAGTGGAGGCAACAAGTGAGGAGAAGTGGTTGGGTGCCAGATTACAGAGGTTGCGGCGGAATGAGACCATTGGGGAGGAAGCAGTGGACCTCCCTTGTAGAGTCGTGCTGAAATGGATGAAGTAATGATCAGAAAGATGCGGCGGTGTGACAGAGATTGTGTCTATGGCACAGTTTCTGGTGAAAATGAGGTCAAGTACTTTTCCAGCTTTGTGAGTTGGAGGACTTTGTACTAGTTTTAGATCAAATGATGACATTAGTGACAGAAAGCCTGATGAGCTGGGATTGTCCAGATGAATATTCATGTCTCCAAGGACCATTGTGGGACAGTCGTGCTCAGGAATGGAGGAGAGCAGGGTGTTGAGTTAATCAAAAAAGTCTACGAGTTGACCTGTTTGGCGATATATGACAACCAAAAAGAATTTTTTTGGTACAGTTACCTGGATGGCATGGTATTCAAAGGAGTTGTATTTAGTGATGGGTAGCAACTGACTGTATATCCATTTGTTGGAAATTAACATGCCCGTTCCACCACCTCGGTCAGATGCACGAGAAGTGTGGGAGTTGGTGTGTGAGGTTGAGAGGTTTTGGCTAGAAATAGTTTGACTCACCTCGATGCATGGCTCTGGGTTGGAAACAGTTTACTCAAGAGGGGTTGCATTTTTTTTACCACTCTGGAGTTGCTCCTAATTAGAGGTGCTGAGCTGGGGTGGGCAAACGTCTTGCTCCCCATATGTATGTCTGTATGTTGGGGTTCATCCCGGTGAATGAAAGGGTAGCCTCCCTTCTCCTTTGTGTGGGGAGATCAGTCCTAATTGTGGTTTTATGCACCAAACTGCAGATCAGACTACCCACCCTTTTTTGAGTCTCTGGAGGGGTTGCTGGAGGGCATTCCTTCTGGTGACACCACCGTTCTCCTGGGGAACTTTAACACTCGTTTGGGCAACAACAGTGAGACATGGAGAGGGTGGTTGGGAGGAATTTCCCCCTTGATCTGAATCTGAGCGGTGTTTTGTTATTGGACTTTTGTGCTCATCTTGGATTTTCCATAGTGAACACCATGTTCAGGCATAAAGGTGTCCATATGAGCTCTTGGCACCAGGATACTTTAGGCCACAGCTTGATTATCTACTTTGTTGTTGTTTCATCTGATCTGTGGCCATATGTCTTGAACACTCGAGTGAAAAGAAGGGTGGAGATGTCAACTGACCACTACCTGGTGGTGAGTTTGCTTCAATGGTAGGGAGGATACCTGTCAGAGCTGGCAGACCCACACTGTGTTGTAAGAGTCTGCTGGGAACTTCTGACCGTCTCCTGTCAGTAGGAGCTTCAATTTCCACCTCTGACAGGACTTCAAACTTGTTCCGGGGAGGCGGGGGGACATTGAGTCCGAGTGGGTCCTTTTCCGTGACTCCATTGTCAAGGCGGCTGACCACAGCTGTGGCCGCAGGTTGGTGCCTGTCATGGTGGTTGGTGCCTGTCATGGTGGCAACCCTGGAACCCACTGGTGGACACCGGCAGTTAGAAAGGCTGTCAAGCTGAAGAAAGAGAGACTCCAGAGGCAGCTGGCCATATCAGCAGTCCAAGAAAAATACAGCTCAGGTGTCCTCGAGACAAAAACTCGGGCATGGAAGATGTTTGATGAGACCATGGAACGAGACTGCCGTATGGCTTCCAGGAGCCTCTGGACCACCATCCAGCATTTCAGGAGGGAAAGCGTTGCACTACAAACAGTTTACAGTGGGGAAGGTGTGCTGCTGTCCTCGATTCTAGACATGGTGGATCAGTGGGCAGAGTATTTCAAAGACCAGCATGTCTTCCATGTTAATTATTTTTAAACATTTATTTAACCAGATACGTGGACTGAAAACTCATTCTCATTGGTTTGGCCACTCGTCAGGCTAAGCGTCATGCCCCGCCCCCTCCCCGACCCTACCGTGTCCACTGAAAGGAACAGCGCAACGAAACTAGAGCCCTCCATCAGCTGACACTGGTGAGAAACAGCAGCGGAATGTGTGCAACACCCCCACCCCTGCTCTCATGGAGGAGCGCTGTCGGACGGAGTGACGGTGGCACAGGAGTTAAGTTGCCGCCCTGTAATCGGAAGGTTGCAGGTTCGAGCCTCACTCAGTCTGTCACTGTCGTTGTGTCCTTGGGCAAGACACTTAAACCACGTTGCCTACTGGTGGTGGTCGGAGGGACCAGTGGCGCCTGTGCTCGGCAGCCTCGCCTCTGTCAGTGCGCCCGAGGGCAGCTATGGCTACATCGTAGCTCATCCCCACCAGTGTGTGAATGTGTGTGTGAACGGGTGAATGACAGAAGAAATTATTGATCATCATGAATTATTGATGGTAGATAATGGAATGTAGGTAGTGAGCTTCAGTGGTTTCTGCAGCTCATTCCAGTCTTTGGAAGCAGCAAACCGGAATGAGGAGCAGTCAAAGGAGGTGCGAGCTTTGGGAATAACCAGAGATGAAGTTACTGGAACATGAATTGTGCTAGTTGTTGGAAGTGATTCGTAATAAGAGAAAATATGATGGTTCTACCAATGGGGAGGAGGGGAGGAGGTTTCGAATGTTTAAGTGCAAACCCCCCAAAGCTTTACGACTGCAGAAGTAGTCATCAAAGGTCATTGTCTTCATGCCAGAAGCTAAAGAGGTATCAGTAGAGGAGGAAGGTAAAGACAATAGGGTTTGATAACTGGAGAACTAGAAGCTGGCCCCGGGTTTGGTTAGATGTTCCCAGAGATTAGTAACCATCATAACCCTGTTTTCAGAAGATTTAGAAGTGGAATGCGTCCCACTCTTTGTGTCAGGTATAGTGTCAGGAAGTCATTTAGAGGTATGATGAAGTTATCTTGTAAAGCCATAACACACATTAGCTGGACTAAGCCTGATAATTCAGAGGAAGGAGGAATGGGAAATGGTGACACTTTGTTTCCAAGCATCCAGTTACCTGCACATGGACCTCCACAAGGTGTAACTAAGGGTGGAGGGGCTGTGCTGCAGTCTTGGGGCTCATAAGGAACTTTAACATTATTACAAAATGTTAGCAAATAGGGGCAGTGATGAGTGGAGACATTTTGTGTTTCAGGGTATAATACAGGTTTAGGAGTCTCATCCAACAAATGTCCTCTTTGTGATGAAATCCTCTTCAGGCTTTACGTCCTCTGGACCCAAACAATCTCCAATCTTACCAAATATCAAACCAGCAGAATGATGGTTGTGAGCAGCTCAGCAGTAAATCCAGGTTCCAGGTAGGTGCTGAAGGCAGGAGGTTGTTGCAATTAGCACCTACTTAGCAGCAGGCAAAGCCCAGGCTCCAGGTGGCTGACACAGGCCCGGCCCAGAAGGTCGAAGCAGAACCAGGCTCTTGAGGGGTGCAGCAGGACCAGTCTCTGGGAGATACAGAAGAACCAGGATCCAGTGGGTGTAGCAGACACAAGCGATTCAGTCCGAAGATGAAGGAAAGTCTACTTCAGGCTAATAGAAACCAGATACAGCCAGACAGAAACCAGCAGGATCCTGGCTGAAGATGGTGGAAGTTTGTGGGTTTTAGATAGTTAGAATTAGGGATCCACCACCCCACACACCAGGCATTTGTTTACCAGGAACGTGGTCGAACAGACTGACTCAGACTGCAGGCCTCGTCTCTGCAACATGGGTTGAGGTGGAGAAACAATACAGGACCATCTGCCAAATTGCAAGTCACACACACACACACACACACACACACACACACACACACACACACACACACACACACACACACACACGCACACGCACACGCACACGCACACGCACACACACACACCTTTGAGAGTCTGAGAACTTCAAAGCACATTACACTACATTGTAAAATTCATCCATACACACACACATTCAAACCCTGGTAGTGTTGAGCTACAGTGTAGCTACAGCTGTCCTGGTGCACAATGACAAAGGCGAGACTGCCGAGCACAGGCGCCACCGGTCCCTTCGACCACTACCAGCAGGCAACGTGGGTTAAATGTCTTGGCTAAGAACTAACCCTAACCCTAAGGACACAACAGGAGCCTTCTCTGCCAGGAGTCGAGATTGGTCCTACAACTTTCCAAAACTGGACAACCCTCAACCTCCTGAACTACTGCTGACAGATCTTGCTACACACACATCTAGTTACACACACACAAATCTAATAAGACATACACAGATCTTTTGAGATTGGTTTCTGCCCATAATCAGCCATCATTAATATTAGTTGAAGTGGTAATAGTTGTAATAAAATGTGTGGTATAGGCACTAGTGGAAAAGGAAAAGGCTGGTGCCAACAGCGTGAAAGCACAGCTAGATCTCAGCCCTTATTTTGGACCTTCAGCTCAACTCCATAGTGCAGTTTTGCTTTTTTCAGTTACTACGGATTGCTAAAGTCTCCTCCTTTCTCTTTCACCTCTGTCTCCGTGTCTGGTCGGAATTACAAGCATTCAAAAAGCAATAACTATAAAGTTTGAAGTATCAGACATGACATTAAAAGCAGAAGCTTTGATGCTCCACCTGAGAGTAAATCTGTAAGGCTTGTCACCAGCATTCAGACATTAATTCTGTTTGCTTCAGGGCCAGAGAGGACACGGTAAAAGAAAAAAAAGAAATGAAAAGTCAAATGAGGCTTTTAGACGTCTGCCTCGCTGTACTCTCTCATGCTGCTGCGGTGCCGGTGTACCATCAGATGGCTACACCTGCTGACTCCTCCCAGAAAATCATCCTCACTGCCATCCAAGGCATCCATGCATGCAATGCTTCACACCTCATCTTAAAAGTCGCATGTTTTTTGTAATTTTTTTAAATCCTTTATATATTTAAACTTTAAGTCCAACAAACACTTCTGCAATTAGAATTGGTCCTCAGTGCTGACGAGACTAAGCTAATGTTGTTTTCTAACTCTAAAAAAAGACCTCTAAGGATGCCCTCAGTGACCACTCTTGAGGGAAACATCATAGAGGTGGTCCACACATACAAAAACCTTTCAGTGGACACTTGACTCCCTCCCCTTCAAGCCTATGTAGATAATCTTTTGAAGAAACTCAAACTCAGACTGGATTGAGGTTAGTGCTTTTTTGTTAAAACATGTGAAAAGTGTGTTACAGTAATCTAGACGGGAGGAGATAAAGGCATGGAGAACCATTTCAAGTTCATATTTTGACACCAACCTTCACAGTTTGGAGATATTTCTTAAATGATAAAAACAGTTTCGGACCAACGTTTTTGAGTGGCCTTCAAGAGACATTGATTAGTCAAAAACATCCAATTGTCTTAAGTTTGCTTTGACGGCAGAGGATAAATGACCAAGTTTTAGACTAATCAGGGGAACCATGCTCTCAGGGGCAATGGTCACACATTCAGTCTTTTCAGAGTTTAACTGAAGGAAGTTATCTTCTAGCCAGCTGGTGATAGCGGATAGACATTCTAGTAATTCAGACAGTTTATAGAACTCAGAATCCTTAAAGGAGCAGTACAGCTGAATGCCATCTGCATATAGGTGATAAGAGACATTATGAAAAGAATCAATTATCTGTCCAGGAGGGTGTATGTACAGTAGAAACAACGGTGGGCCCAAAACAGAGCCTTGGGGTACCCCACAGAACAGATACTGACAGTAGTAGTTACCAGTTGAATTAATTATAGGTTCACTAGAATAAATACAATAAAGTTTATCTCTCACCAAATAGAATGTTTACTAAGAAATCACAATGTATCCATAGAAACACTACTTGGTATATATGTTGTGTGTGTGTGTGTGTGTGTGTGTGTGTGTGTGTGTGTGTGTGTGTGTGTGTGTGTGTGTGTGTGTGTGTGTGTGTGTGTGCGTGTGTGTGTGTGGCACAAGATCATGAGGACACACAGCACGTTAATAAAATAATGTGGTTCAGAGTCTCCAAAAGTAACTCAGCTCATGCCCGCCTTTTTTATCTTATAATGGAGGACACCGCAGACTTTCCAGCACGTCTTAAGCACCGCCCACAGGCTTGGGGATTTCCACATTCCTGAGAAGTCCCTCAGATTTATATGTGAACACTACACCGCCTGTTTGAGACCAAACTCACTCCACCCAGCCCGCCCAAACCCAACCGTGCCGACGCTAATGAGTAAGCGCAATCATTCAGGACTCTATAGCTAATAAATGCACCATGGGGTGGTTGTGAAGCTTAGGTTATCATTAGTTAATCATTAAGTCCTGACTTGTTAACCATTAGTTACTCATTAAGTAAGCCGGTTTTGTAACATGTTACAGATTAAACAAGTGCTCAACACCTTTAATAAAGAAGGCTAAATTATTTTTGTGTGACAGAACCAAGTTAAGCTAGGTCTGGTCTGTTTTTGTTCTTTTACGCTCATACACTTGACCAGCAGCGACCTTTAAGATACAGGAGAAGACCGCCTGACTCTGTTTTAACAATGAATCTAATAATTATGTTACCATAGAGACACTTTAGATGGTGTCTCTGCTCTTGCCACTAAATACAAAAGTCTTGTAATTGTCATTGCTTTTAAATCTTGCCGTGTATCTTTTGAAGGTGAATGTAGACCTGTCCTCTCTGTTGGACACTGAAGACAAGAAGTCCAAGAACAAGAGGGGTGTCCTGCCCAAACATGCCACCAACATTATGCGCTCGTGGCTCTTCCAGCATCTCATGGTGAGGCTGACAGAAAGGTCTGAAATTTTTGCCAGCACCAATAATGAGCCTTGATAAGAATGCTGTTTTGAAGAGGTCTACAGTCAGAGAGGACTGGATGGACAAACTGTGACAGACAAGTTGTTTAAACGTCTGTTACAGAGGCAAATCTCACAGGAATCCTTCTGTTCTCATTCTTGTTTTAGCATCCGTACCCAACAGAGGACGAGAAGAGGCAGATTGCGGCTCAAACCAATCTAACCCTTCTACAAGTCAACAACTGGTAACAATCTTATATGTCCTCAAAGGACAAACGGCTACGATTCCTCATTTAGAGAGGAATCACCCAAATCTTCCTTTATCCTTATGTAGCGTTGACAGTCTGGACACCTTTTAAAAAACAGCTGAAGACCCTTTTATTTAAAGCAGCTTTTACCTAAATATTCATTTTTCTTATTTTTAACTCAAAAATTTAATCTTTCATCTGTCTGATGTTAATCTAATTCTGTTTAGAGATTATTATGATTCAAGTCTTTGTTTTATTTTGTTCTGATCTACGTGAAGCACTTTGTGATTCTATGTCTGTGATAAGTGCTATATAAATAACATGTACTTACAAAGTGCTTAACATTAAATATGGAAAAAAGACAATAAAACAATTAAAAACGCTGTAAAAAGTAAATAATCAGAGCCAGTTTAAAACAATTTAGGACAAATTTAAGAGTAATAAAAAATAAAATGAATATAAAATAATATAAAAACACAAAAATAATCCCCCCCCCCACACACACACACACGCACACACACACTGACTGTATTTAGATCTTGGAACAGGATGATAAAATTTACCAGAGGACTTTGTTTCTCTGCTCTGCTTTTGTAATGAAAGACTGTCACATATGTAGGATGGTGCAAGGCCATGAATACCTTTAAATGCAAGCATTATAACCTCAAACTTAATTCAAGAGCCAATGAAGTAATGAGAGAATTGGAGTGATTGTTGACAGCTAGGGTTGTTGGTGAGCAGACGTGCAGCTACGTCTTGGACTAGTTGTAACCTGGCCAGATGTTTCTGAGTTAGACCTGCATAAAAAGCATTGCAGTAGTCCAAACGGGAGCTGATAAAACATATACGGCTCTTTCTAGATCATTGCAACTTAAAAATGGTTTAACTTTAGCTAAAAGACGGAGCTGACAGAAGCTAGTTCTGACAACCGAGTCAATCTGCTTGTGGAAATTCATGCCACTATCAAATATGACACCAAGTTTCTGACATGATGTTTTAAACTCAATGCTAAAAAAACAAAATCTGACAGTGTGACAACAGCACATAAAATGGGTATCATGAGACAGTGTGTACATCGATACTATAGCACCAGAGCTCTTGTAAGAATTGTAGAAATATTCAGTCCAATATGTGACAGAAAGTGTTCCCACGTTTTAACAAAAACATCATCCTTGCAGTATAAATGACATGTCAAGTAATCAAGAGAAACATAGTTGAGTATAACCCTCTGTCACTGTAACTTGCAGGGAATTTTGTCAGCTATCCAATTCAGGAGAAGACATTATCTAGCACAAAATTTCGCATTCTGTAGAGTCTACTTTAATATTTATCACTGACAATAGGATCAGCCACTCCAAGTAACAAAAATAAGGGATTATTGTTTAAGTTAACAGACAGAGTTGTATTCATTTCCCCTCCAAAAGTCTGCCAGAATTGTTTCACTTTAGCACAGGACCAGAAACAGTGCGTAAGAGTACCAACCTCAGTCTTATACTTCAGGCACTGTGAAGATGCACTCAGGCACTCATCAACCTGACCTCAACTATCTCTCACCTAATGTATCCTCTGTAATCTCCAACCTTGGAGTAAAAATGGACCAGGCTCTGAAGATGGATGCCCAGGTCAATAACACAGTTAAATCATGTTTTTACCAACTAAGACGCATCTCAAAACTAAAGCACATCCTGAGTGTACGTCTTCTGAAATCAGTGGTCCACACTTTTATCACCTCAAGGCTGGATTACTCTAACTCCTGCTTATACGGCATCAGTAAAGCAGCTCTCTCTAGACTTCAGCTGGTCCAGAATTCAGCAGCTAGGTTGCTGACTGGAGCTGACAGAAGACAACACATTTCTCCAATTCTGAAATCTCTCCACTGGTTGCCCGTGCAGTTCAGGATAAACTTCAAAATTATGCTTCTCACCTACAAATCCTTGAACCATCAAGCTCCTCCATATCTGTGTGAACTTGTCCATTACTACAACCCGCCGCGTGCTCTCAGGTCTGAAGATAAGCTCCTCCTAGCTGTTCCCAATGCACGTTTAAAAAGCCGTGGAGAGAGGGCTTTCTCTGTCTGTGCACCGAAGCTGTGGAACGCATTACCACTGCTAGTGAGGCTAGCACCAACAGCTAGCATTTTTAAATCACGCCTGAAAACTCACTACTTCAACCTAGCTTATACAACATAATTATGAACCTCACTGACATCTGCACTGTTTATAAACTGACTCCACAATTATCGACTTCCGTATTATTTGAGGTTCTTTGTAAAATGTTTTTTTTTCCTATTTTTACTTCACCTTGTGTCTTAATGATTTTTACCTGTTATTTTTGGGAATTTTCTTGTATTTCCTTTTTATCTTTTATCTGTGTTCGACATGTTTATATAACGCCTGTTTAATTAACCAACATTTTTAGTGTACAGCGCCTTGTTTGGTTGTAATGCCTTGTGAATGCGCTTTATAAATAAAATTGGATTGGATTGGAAGATGATGTAGGTTTAAATTTTTGCCTTCGATAAGGTGAGACATGAGCTTTGTGGAGAATCATAAGTTGAGTTGCTTTAACCCTATTACAGACACTTTAGGATTTCGCATTTCCCAACGCATTGTTCCAATCATCGTCAGTAATGGTACAGTTGAGTTCCCTTTCCCATACTTCCTTCAAGCAGGTTGTTTCTGCTTTATAACATTTAATAATATTGTAAAATGTACTAACGGTAGTAACCGACCTGGTCAAAAAAAATTATCTTTCAGTATCTGATACATCCTGACAGACCAAAAGTGTCGTGTCCTTCCTAATAAAATCCCTAACCTGTAAGTATCAAAAAAAGTCCGCTTTTGAAATATTGTATTTTTCAGTCAGATGGGTAAACGACATCAGGGTAGGTCCATCAAATAGATCCTGTAATTTAGATATCCCCTTATCCCTCCATCTTTCAAAGTTATTATACATTATTTAAGGTGGAAAATCTGGGTTTCCCTGAAAAAAATGTTGGTTTCTAGGATAAAAATTTTCTGTTTAATATATCATACAGGAGGCACACACTGGGATATTTGAGAAGTGAAACAGAATTTATTGGATTTACAGAAAGTGTGCAATAATTGTTAAACAAAATTAGGCAGGCTCATACATTTTTTGGAAGATTTGCAGAAATAACAGCCTGTAAACACTCCAATGAGAGTCTGGATTCTGGTTAAAGGTGTTTAGAACCATTCTATGGTGCCCGTCTGGTCACATTGAGGGAAAAAAAAGGAACTTGTGGCCACAGGATACTTGATGTGTTCCTGAGTTATGAATGCATAGGAACAAGATACTTTAATGCGTGAAGGGTGTGTTCCAGAGATCTGCTTTATTGAAAGAATCTCCTCTTCAAAGACTCGAAATCGTTAACTTTTAGCTAAAATTTGATTTTATCATAAGGTTACTGATATTTCTGTTAATGACTTCTAAAAAGTTGTTTTATATAATTAATCATAAAGCAGTGATCCTCTTTTTCTTTCAGCACCATGCACAGGCGGCTTGTGTGCTCCTCTCTTTTGTTGCTTGAGCAGTGAGTGGCTTACTTTCACTGGACTGAATTAACAATTCATACAGGAAAATCATGAAGATTATTAGGGCTGCCCAAAGTGTTGCATCCCACTGTACATATAAACATAAACACACCTACCAGGTGGTAGGCAGGTGTGACTGAAGGAGCTGTTTAGCTAGAAAACTGAGCAAAATAAGCACCGTGAAACAAAAAACACACATGCATACTAACTAGTTCCTGAGCGTGGGCATGTCTGCAGCTCCCTGTGGGGATGGTCAGATGTAGACCCATCCCTTTCTTTTGAAACTCAGGGCGGTCAGAACACAGTTTTGTGTGTTTTTCTGAGTTCACAACAAGGATTTAAAAACTTTACTCTGAAAAAATTTACTGAGGTTTTTCATGATTTTTTTTCCCTCCATGTGATTGTTCCAGGTTCATCAACGCTCGTCGGCGTATCCTCCAGCCTATGCTGGATGCCAGTAATCCAGACCCGACCCCTAAGGCGAAGAAGATCAAGTCCCAGCACCGTCCAACGCAGCGCTTCTGGCCAGACTCCATCGTAGCTGGAGTTCTGCAGAAACACTTATCCCAGACAGGAAACAGCTCAGAAAGTAGGCTGCTGGTGAAAATGTCTCTCTCCTACACACACACACACACACACACACACACACACACACACACACACACACACACACACACACACACACACACACACAAACACACACACACACACACACACACACACACACACACACACACACACACACACACACACACACACACACACACACACAGTCTACAGCGTGGCAGTGATGTAATCTCACCACCAGATGGTGCGGTTGGCGTTCTAGTTATAGGGAAACAGAGCTGGCTCTGTGTTTTTAGTTATCAGACCTGGGGCCTCATTTATCAAGCTTGCCTACCCACAAAACAGGTCGGAAAACTGTGTAAGCAACTTTCCACACAAACTTTGGGATTTATGAAAGAAAACTTATCGGAAAAATGTGTGCAACTTTAAGTTGACTAAGGATCTGGCCTACGCACATGTTGGACACGGAGAGCACCTGCAGTGCTGCTGCTGAGAAGGATAAAATTTTGAAATCCTGCAGCATTATCACTCGTACTGTTTCGTTTTCACACACAAAAAGACCCCCCCCCCCCCCCACACACACACACACACACACACACAGACAAACACACAGCCTGAAGCCAGAATACGGAATGCAGAATATCAGCAGGGGGACAGATTGAGACAGAACATCATGCGTCTGTGACAGTGTGTGTGTCCTGTCACTGTGACCCGATTGATCATGTGCCCTGACTACTTGTAAAGGAGAGATCTCCATTTGACTGACTGGTTAGCGCGTGCGACTTTCACCCGGGAGTCTGGGAATCGAATCCCGATTGGACCCTATTTTAATATCTACCACAGATCTCTGAAGAACTCAAAACGGCTTCAGCAACGCTGTGCCACTCCGTGGATTTTCTCTTATTTGTTTTGCAAAAGCACTTCCTTTCATTTCTCCACCTCACCCACAAGTACCTCAATTCCTGCTTCAGTGAAATAGTGCTTCCTTGATCTGTCTTGATCTACGGTCGCCATTGTCGCTGCAACAGCCGGCTTATGTATATGCATGAGGTCCACAAGGCACTCTGCACTGACTATTTATGGCAGTAAGTGGGCGTGGTGAGGGGGGGATGTGACTAAAAAGCAGCTGAGAAACATTTTCGTTAGTCTCCGATTTATGAACTGGAGATTGCGTGCAGCTGTGCGTACTCCATGTTTGATAGATCACAAACCTGCATGGCGTAAGTACTTTTTTTTCTGAGCTTAAGTACGTTTTAGTAAGGATTCTACGCAATGTTTGATAAATGAGACCCCTGATCATGATCAGAACTGACTTCTGCATGCCTGTGTTGTCTTTTGAATCTCTTCACCCAGTGTTTGACATTTGGAGATGTGTAAACTGTCCCTGTCCTTTGTTCTCAGACCCACTGGGCTTTGACAGCCTCCAGTCACTGTCGTCAGACTCTGCCACCCTGGCCATACAGCAAGCCATGCTGGGAGCCGATGATTCTATGGACGGAACCGAGGAAGACGATGAAGAAGAAGAGGAGGAGGAGGATGAAGAGGAAGGATTGGAGGATGAAGAAGAAGAAGAAGAAGAAGAGGAAGAGGAGGAGGAACACAACAGGAGAAGACAAATTTCCATGAAGGCTGATCTGAGCATGGAGTCTAAAGAGGAGCTGGAGTAGTTCAGCGGGGGAGAGGCCTGGTGCCATAGGAGGAGCCAAACACCTTCTGGATGGTACCAGCCAGACCAGACTGGACTAAAGCACAAACCTTTGTCTTTCTTTCCACTGAGCTGCTGGAGGATCTGAACAGGAGCACATTTTTATTATTCAAAGCTGATTGGTGGAAAGGAAGGACACAGAAGGAATAAGGCTCAGTTGTGTATTGTTAGTCTTAAGCAACCCTCGGTAGATGCTTTCAGAGAAGCGCTGAAACATGGACATGCTGCCCATGACTACATGGAGTCTACATGCATAACTAAGGCTTTTTCAGCCCTCTGCTTTAGTGAATGGAAGGTCTGAACAGCTGAAGTTATCAAAGAGAAGGGCTGTGAAACCTTTTCATTTCAACTATTTAACTAAACTGAAAGTACTCTTTGTTTTTAACTGAGAGCTGACTCAGACTTTTCCAGAAATCTGTCATTTTGCTTCCAGGAACAATGTTGGCTAGGCTGACAGCGGTGGTGGTGGTGTGGGGGGGGTCCTCACGTTTTCAGATGCTGTAGAAGTTCTCAGGTAGAACGCAGCTCTCTTCCTCACAGGAAACGCCGCATTCACCGCTGAGGCTAATTCTCCTACGCATGTCTTCTTAAGTTTACAACAAGAAAAGTAGAAAAAACTAATGTAATCAACAAGCAGCACATGTTTAACCCTACTGCATGTGTGTGTGTGTGTGTGTGTGTGTGTGTGTGTGTGTGTGTGTGTGTGTGTGTGTGTGTGTGTGTGTGTGTGTGTGTGTGTGTGTGTGTGTGTGTGTGTGTGTGTGTGTGTGTGTGTGTGCTGGAGTAGGTGAAGGCCAGTTTTCCACTCAGGCTGCTGAAATAATCAGCGGCTATGTACATACAGGAAGTGCTCGGCTCCATCCATAAAGACTTTGTGTGACTCTTCTGTTCCTACTAAGCCTGGTGACAGTCAGCAGCACTAGCATTAGCGTCAACGTCAGTGTCAGCACTAGCGTCAGCGTTAGTGTTAGCATCAGTGTTAGCGTTAGCATCAGCGTTAATGTTAGCATCAGCGTCAGTGTCAGCACTAGCGTTAGTGTTAGCATTAATGTTAGTGTCAGCGTCAATGTTAGCACTTGTGTTAGCATCAGCGTTACCATTACCATCAGCGTTAACATCAATGTTAGCGTCAGAGTTAGTGTTAGCGTCAGTGTCAGCACTAGCGTTAGTGTCACGTCAGTGTCAGCACTAGCATCAGCGTCAGTGTCAGCACTAGCGTTAGAGTCAGCGTTAGCGTCAGTGTCAGCACTAGCGTTAGTGTCAGTGTCAGCACTAGCATTAGCATCAGTGTTAGTGTCAGTGTCAGCACTAGCGTTAGCATCAGCGTTAGTGTCAGTGTCAGCACTAGCGTTAGTGTCAGTGTCAGCACTAGCGTTAAAGTCAGCGTTAGCGTCAGTGTCAGCACTAGCGTTAGCGCCAGCGTTCGTGTCAGTGTCAGCACTAGTGTTAGCGTCAGTGTCAGCACTAGCATCAGCGTCAGTGTCAGCACTAGCGTTAGCGTCAGTGTTGGCACTTGCGTTAGCGTCAGCACTAGCATTAGCGTCAGCCTTGAAGCCATTTGTAAACTAAACTCTCTGCTGGTGATTTATGAATTCTCTTATTTTTGTCTGAAACACTCGAAGGGAAAAATGCATTTCAGCTGTGAAATTGTCTCAGAAGAGGAGCCACTTGTGTTTTGTTGAATGTTCTGACAGTTCAATGTGAAGTATTTTGCTCATTAATACTGTTTTCCATGGACCTTCCAGAGCCAGCAACCGGCTCATATTTTTATTTTATCCCCACATTTTGTTATTTCAATAGACTGATTTTAATAAATGAATGCATACGTTGGCTAACCTGTATTCACCAAGATTCTGCTTTTGTTCTGAACCAAGCCACAAATGAGACCAACTCTTGTAGCATAGGCTTGTCAGATAGCACACATACATTGTTGAATCTTCAACCCGAACCAATCATACTAAACAGCTCCAGTAGAGGGCGATGGTGGGCAGCAGCGGGTGGGTGGGGGGGTGGGGTGGGAGGTCACACCCTAACGGACCAGTCACCGTTTCTAAAACAGAGTAAACACAGAGAGAGGAAAGTCCTTATGCATCTGTTTTCTTTTGGTTCATTAACGAGTGAGTTACCTAATCTGTTAGTTGTTCATCTACAGTTTAACTGTTTTTGTTCTCCATGTTGGTCTTCACTGCCTCTATAAACACCTTGTCTGTTTCCAGTCAGTCTGTGTTTTAAGGAATTGTGAAACAAGTCATTTCAAAAAGCCCTCTGGAGGCGACTGGCAGAGCAGAGAAAGGAAGCTAGACTCAGGAGGAAGTCAAAACTCACCATGGACCATGGAGGCTGGCACAGGAGCCTGAACCCAGGAGATGAGAAACCATGGTGCAGGAGGTTGGGAGACGGGAACCCAGGAAGTGGAGGGACAGGGGACTATGACTTGGAAGGAGGAGACTCCAGAGACCGAAAATCACAAAGTGACTCTGGAGACCAGGACCCACGTAGGAGCTTGGGAGCAGAAAGTTGTTGCGGGTCTTCATCTGGGACACGTGCAGACTCTGGATTAGGAACTGCCACAGGGCGACCTCCAGGACATGCACATGAAACAACCAGTAGACCATGCTTGCAAGATCTCAGCAGTCTGTTCAGAACAGGATGGAACAAGAGCGCAGCAGTATGTCTGGGGCTAACTTGTCCCAAATGTCACAGTTTGACCTCGATGGGAAGGGAAGCTGGAGCGGCTGAAAAGACGGGGGTGTAGCGTGGGAGAAGTCCACCTTATTCATCCACATGCCTTGTGTCATGGTGGGTTCCAGTTCAAGTCATCAGAGGTTTCTGAAACCTGACTTAGTGTTGGAGCGGTCCGAATCACGTCTGCCTGTTCGCTCCACGGATCTTCCAGAGTCAGAATTACAGAGGGTGGAAGAGCCCCTGGCAGGCCACACACACACACACACACACACACACACACACACACACACACACACACACACACACACACACACACACACACACACACACACACACACACACACACACACACACACACACACACACACACACACACACACACACACACACACACACCCTGAGATACTCCCTGGTGCCTACATGATCCCAGATGTCCTCTCTGTAATTAGAGTCAGGTCTGGTCCACTTTAGATCCAACCCCTCCCTGCGTATTTAAGGAGCTTTCCAAGTTTCAGCAGACGTTTAGACGGACTTTGGCCTCTACACACTAAGGTTCCAGACACACCACTCTGACAGGTTTAAGGTAAAACTGTTTTTGTCTTCATCCGCTGATTAATTTAATCTGTTATGAACACTGAGTGGAAATAAGGAATATTCTGGATGTGAGTCTAACCGAGTATCATGTTTCCCTCTCTTCTGGACCAAATGCAGGTTCCACCATGTCCATCGCCCAGGCTGCGGCCAAGGCCATGCTATCTGATGCCCTGCTGCAGGACAGTTCAGGGATACAGCGGACAAAACACCTGGAGCTGGAGCTTCCTTTAGATAAGGTCATCAAGTATGTCTCTGTGGGCCTCCCACTGATGCTGGTGTGCATGGCGTTTGCTCGTGAGATCTCCCTCGGTGAGCCATCCTCCACCTCTGAGCTGGTTTATGAACTTTTCCCTGCTGCTTTTCAGCAGCTCCTGTGTTTCCTATCCACCTGCTGTACTGTAGTTCTGGTCTGGGGGCACTGAGGACTAGGGTTGAGAAAAACTGCTTTAGATGGTCTCTCAGTCTGAGCTGGACTTTTGCACCAGATTCTCCTTTTGGGAGTTGATATCTGTACGTTTACGGAGTTTAGCTCACGTGGACCTGTGACGACTAACGTGAAGAAGAAGATCCTAGCATGCCTGGTTTGTTGTGTTCAGTCAGTGAAGCCTGATATAAAACGGAAAGCTGTACCTCAACATGGTGACTGTTCTAAACCTGGGGTGTTTCTACTCCATTATAACCACAGATATAACTATAGGACAGTTGTTGCTCTGTGATGAAGCATCTTACAGTTTACCTGAACACACAACAAGCCTGTATGAGAATTAGACCAGTTAATATCAAGGTCAGCTGACAGGAAGAACCCTAACCTGATAGGAAATTAGAGGCTGTCATTTTTAGAGCTGAGCTGCTAACCATAAAACCCGTCTAAGAACTCTGAAGCTTGTGGAACTCACCGTGGGTGTGCCCCATCCCAACCCTCCAATTAAGGGTGGGGCAGCTGGTGCAGAGTGGGTCCAAGTGGTGGAACCATATGTGGGAACATCAAGGGAAACTACATTTAGAGAGAGAGAAACTAAACCTAAAATAGAGTCTTGCAGTATTTTAAATACCAGTTTGGGACCACAAAGAGAAAAAGCCAAACATGAGGAGGGATCTGTGTTGATGAATGAGCCTCCACAGCTCAGCATTGTGTATTTTTATGTGTAAGGAATTCCAAGTACCAGCTGAATGTTTCTAAGCTAAATCTAAGTAAATTGTGCTGAGCAGCTGTCATGTTTGCAGAGGAGGTTACAGATTTGTTTATTTGCAGGACCTCAGATCAGCTGTTTCACTCCCAGCAACTTCACAGCCAAACAGGCCAGCTATGTGGACATGTACTGCTGGGACACTCTGATGCATCATGAGTTCGACAGTGATGGGAACTTTGAAGAGCGCTCTCTTTGGGTGCATAAGGTGAGTTTAGAGGTTTGAACTGGGGCTTCTGTGGACTGAACAAATGATAAAATCTTTTTTCTTGCCAAACGCTAGTCAGAAATGTCAATTAATTGATGAACAGATTCTTCTCTGAAACCTTTTGTGTAATATTCAGGTGAGTTCAACCTTGTACAGGACAATATAGGAAGGTTGTTTTCTTTGGTGCTAACTTTAGGTTTAGGGTTAGCTTGTGTTACTCCGCTGCACGTATCTACAATGGGGCAAAACTATTTAGTCAGCCTCCACTTGTGCAAGTTGTCCCACTTAAAAAGATGAGAGGCCTGTAATTTTCAGGCTTGATATACCTCAACTAAGAGAGACAAAATGAGAAAAAATATTGCAGACAATCACAATGTCTGAAGAACCTTCTGCTAATTATAGTGAAAAAAAAGTTTTTGGTCAAAAACGAAAGTCCATATCAATACTTTGTTATTAACACTTTGCTGGTAATGACAGAAGTCAAATGTTTTCTCCAAGTCTTCACAAGGGTTTCACACAAAACTGGATTGCCAGTTTCCAGATCTCAAGCCTATAATACGTCTTTGGAGGCAGTTGAAAGTCCGTTTTGACCAGCGACAGCCCCAAAACATCACTGTTCTAGGGGAGATCTGCAAGGAGGAATGGGCCAAAAATACCAGCAAGTATACAAGCGCCTTATGAAGACTTACAGAAAATGATTTGATCTCTGTGTTTACAACCCATCTTGGAGGGGCCAGGCCATAACATGAAGGTGGATTCCCACATTGCCACAGATCCCAAGTACCACACCACAGTTTGACTTATCTACAATGATTTTTATTTACAAGTTCTATATTAACTGAAGGCGAGGGAGAATAAATATAACTCAGGGTGAACCAAAGGCCAAAATAACAAACAAAAATACCCCTAACTTAAATAATCATCTTACCTACAAATTAAATAAAAATAAATACAACCAAACTTACCTCCCTGATTACAAACACAGGAAAAAACTGAATGGAGAAATTAAATGGCAGGTTCACCCCTACTTTCCTCAAGTATAACAACAGGTCTTTACACAGCACTCTACACAGGACACTAAGTGGATGGTGGCAGGTTGGGATGAGTAGAGAATGAGAATCAGCTGCAGGTGGTGTTGACATCCCTCTTAAAGGTCTGCTCCCATCAATTATCCAATCAGGACACTCCCCAGGCCATTGGTTCACCAATCAGATGTGGGCACCTGCACTAAGAAACATTATGAACACACAAAGCAACTCCCTGAATAAAACAACTTGCGACCCTTGGTCGTAACATCTGTCATTACCAATAGAGGGTGTATAACAAAGTATTGAGATGGACTTTTGTTATTGACGAAACACCTAATTTCCACTGCCATTAGCATAAGGTGGTGCCTAAGGCAGGGGCCTTGGCGGTCTGATCCTCGGCTACAAAAGCTAGCTCTCCGTTCGTGGAATGTCACCTCTCTGGTGGGGAAGGAGTTGGTGTGTGAGGTTGAGAGGTTCCGCCTAGATAGAGTTGGACTCACCGCAACGAATGGCTCTGGTTCTGGTACCAGTTTGCTCGAGAGGAGATGGATTTTCTACCACTCTGGAGTTGCTCCCACTGAGAGGCGCCAAGCAAGGGTGGGCATACTTGTTGCCCCCCAAATTGGTGCCTATACATTGGGTTTTACCCCAGTTAATTAGAGGGTAGCCTCCCTCCACCTTCATGTGGGGGGATGGGTCCTGACTGTGGTTTGTGCTTATGTGACAAACTGCAATTGATACTACCTGCCCTTTTTTAAGCGCTTGTAGGAGATTCTGGAGAGTGCTCCTTCAAGTAACTTCCTTGTTCTGCAGGGGGACTATAACGGTCATGTGGGCAATGACAGTGAGACCTGGAGAAGTGTGGTTGGTAGAAATGGCCCCCCCTATCTGCATATGAGCAGTGTTTTGTTACTGGACTTCAGTACTAGTCATGGATTTTCCAAAACGAACACCATGTTCAAGCATAAAGGTGTCCATTCAATTCAATTCAAGTTTATTTATATAGCGCCAAATCACGACAAGAGTCGTCTCAATACACTTCACATAATAAACATTCCAATTCAGGTCAGTTCATTAAGCCAATCAGAAATAATGTTTCCTATATAACGAATCCAGCAAATTGCATCAAGTCACTGACTAGTGTCAGTGACTATACAGCAATCCTCATACTAAGCAAGCATAAAGCGACAGTGGAGAGGAAAACTCCCTTTTAACAGGTAGAAACCTCCAGAGAATCCTGGCTCAGTATAAGCAGCCATCCTCCACGACTCACTGGGGATCGAGAAGACAGAGCAGGCACACACACACACACACACACACACACACACACACACACACACACACACACACACACACACACACACACACACACACACACACACACACACACACACACACACACACACACACACACACACACACACACACACAACAAAGTAATGTGTCTATAGTTGTATTGTGATTTCTTAGTAAATATTCTATTTGGTGAGAGATAAACTTTATTGTATTTATCCTAGTGGATCTATAATTAAACGGATAAACTAGCAGTAGCACATCCAACGTCAAGGAAAGCAAAAAGTTATTATCAGGAGAGGGAGAATGTTTAAGTGGATAGCAGCAGTGTGCTAGACAATGGCCCCCTCCATGAGGCCACCACAGCTCAGCAGAACATCATTGTAGCTTCTTCTGGGGAGAAAAACACTTAGAGACAAAATAAAGTTAACAGCTGAAATAGCAGAAAATAATACAGTTAAAGAGCAGATTGTAGAAGAAAGTAGTAGAGTGTGAAAAGTGGTCAGTGAATCATCCAGCAGTCTAAGCCTATAGCAGCATAACTACAGAGATAACTCAGGATAATCTATCCTATTTAGATGGAGGCATGTTGGAGGAAGGGCAAGGGAGAGCCGTCTTTACCGACTGTACACTCCACCTCCCTCTACTCCCCCACTTGTCCAGATTTAGGCTAACATCAGATTTTAACCATAGGCCCTATCAAATAAAAATGTTTTAAGCCTGGTCTTAAAAGTAGACAAGGTGTCTGCCTCACGGACTAAAGCTGGGAGCTGGTTCCACAGGAGAGGAGCCTGATAACTAAAAGATCTGACTCCCATCCTAATTTTAGATATTCTGGGAACCACCAGTAAACCTGCAGTCTGAGAGCGAAGTGCTCGGTTAGGAACGTATGGAACAATCAGATCACTGATGTATGATGGAGCTTGATTATTAAGAGATTTATATGTGAGAAGGATCTTAAAATCTATTCTGAATTTAACAGGTAGCCAATGTAGGAAAGCTAAGACAGGAGAGATATGATCTCTCTTTTTAATTCTCATCAGAACTCTAGCTGCAGCATTTTGGACAAGCTGAAGACCTTTAACAACATTCTGTGGACTTCCTGAGAGTAATGAATTACAGTAATCCAGTCTTGATGTAATAAATGCATGAACTAGTTTTTCAGCATCACTCCTGGAAAGGATGCTTCTAACCTTAGCAATATTCCAAAGCTGTAAAAATGAAATCCGACAAACCTGTTTAACCTGGAATTTGAATGACAAGTCCTGGTCAAAGATAACACCAAGGTTCCTTACTTTGTTCTCGGAGATTAATGTAATGCCATTCAGGTCAGGTGATTGACTAAGCAATTTCCTTTTCTGGATTTCTGGGCCAAATATGAGAACTTCCGTCTTGTCTTGATTTAAAAGCAAAAAGTTTAGAGTCATCCATGTTTTTATGTCCTCAAGACAAGCCTGTAATCTACCCAACCGATTAGGTTCATCAGGGTTAATGGATAAATATAACTGAGTATCATCAGCATAACAGTGGAAGTTAAGCCCATGCTGTCTAATGATTTTACCAATTGGGAGCATATACATATTAAAAAGAATTGGTCCAAGCACTGAACCCTGTGGTACTCCACAAGTAACCCTTGAGTATGAAGACGATTTGTCATGTACATTTACAAAATGAAATCTGTCAGACAGGTAGGATTTAAACCAGCCTAGCACTGTTCCTTTGATCCCTACAACATGTTCAAGTCTTTCTAAAAGATCATTGTGATCAACTGTGTCAAAGGCAGCACTGAGGTCTAACAAGACTAGAACAGACACAAGATTCTTATCTGAAGCCATGAGAATATCATTTGTAACTCTCACTAACGCAGTTTCAGTGCTGTGATACTCTCTAAAAGCAGACTGAAATTCCCCAAACAGAGCATTAGTGTTTAAATGCTCACATACTTGGATGGCCACTATTGTCTCAAGGACTTTGGATAAAAATGGAAGGTTAGATATTGGTCTATAATTCATTGGGTCATCTGGATCCAGAGAAGGCTTCTTAAGTGAAGGTTTGATTACAGCAAACTTAAAATCCTGTAGTACATATCCATTTACTAAGGATTGATTGATTATATCTAGAATGGTGGCAGTAACCAAAGGAGATGCTTCTTTAAATAATTTGGTTGGGATTGGATCCAAAATGCAAAATGAAGGTTTAGATGAAGCTAATATTTTTGATAACTCTGAAAGCTCAACTGGATCAAAACGGTTCAAGCACAGATGAGGCTCTGCAGTCACCTCTGATGCTGCCTCACTTACTGAGGAAGAAGAAATCGCATTAGGGAGGATGCTAAAGATTTTGTGCCCATATGTGCTCTTGGCACCAGGATACCTTAGACCATAGGTTGACGATTGACTTTGTAGTTGTTTCATCTGATCTGCGGCCGCATGTCTTGGACACTCGGGTGAAGAGAGGGGCGGAGCTGTCAACTGGCCATTACCTGGTGCATTGGGGGTGTTCCACAGGGCTTAACTCTTGGTCCACTCCTATTTGCCATTTATTTGCTCCCACTGGGCTCCATCTTCCGTGGTCATGTTCATGAGTTGCATCAGATTTTTCAGGACAGTGTCCCTCCATACCTTGAGGATCTGTTTTAAAGACATGTACTGTCAAGGTCACTGCGCTCTACAGATCAGTTCCTGTTGACTGTGCCTCACTCCAGGTCCAGGACATGTGTGGATAGGGCATTTTCTGATTTGACACCATCCCCCTGGAACAAGTTACCTCTTAACATTAAGCTGAAGTGGCTGACCGCAGCTGCAGCTGCAGGGTTGTTGGTGCCTGTCGTGGTGGCAACTCTCGAACCCACTGGTGGACCCCAGCAGTTAAGGATGTAGCAAAGCTGATGAACGAATCCCATTGGGTTTTTTTGGCCTGTGGAACTCCAGAGGCAGCCGATAGTTACTGGCAGTCCAAGCAGAATGCGGCTCGGGTGGTCGCGGAGGCAAAACCTAAGGCATGGGAAGAGTTCGGTGAGACCATGGAGCAAGACTTCCGAGTGGCTTTGAGGAGATCCTGGTCCACCATCCAGCATCTCAGGGGGGAAAGCAGTGCACTACCATCACTGTTTACAATGGTGACAATGTGCTGCTGACCTCTACTCGGGATGTTGTGGCTCAATGGACAGAATACTTCGAAGACCTCCTCAATGCCACGGACACATATTCCAGTGAGGAAGTAGAGTCTAGGGACTTTGGGTTAGACTCTCTGATCTCTGGGGCCAAGGTAACTGAGGTGGTCATAAAGCTCCTCAGTGTCAAGGCCCCGGGGGTGGATGAGATCCATCTGGAGTTCCTCAAGGCTCTGGATGTTGTGGGGCTGTGTTGGTTGACCAAGTATTGCGAGGGCATCGGGGGCAGTTCCACTGGACTGGCAGACCGGGGTCACAGAGTGTGTTCCAACTACAGGGGATCACACTCCTGAGACTCCCTGGTAAGGTCTACTCTGGGGTTCTGGAGAGGAGGGTCCAGCGGATTGTGGAACCTCGGATTCAGAAGGAACAATGTGGTTTTCGTCCTGGCTGTGGAACCCTCGACTAGCTCTTTACCCATACGGGCATCCTGGAAGGTGCATGGGAGTTCACCCAACCAATATAAATGTGTTTTATCGATTTGGAGAAGGAGTTCGACCGTGTCCCCCAGGGGTCCCTGTGGGGGGTACTCCGGGAGTATGGGGTACCAGGCCCTCTTGTAGTTGAGGTATACCTATGATGAAAATTACAAGCCTTTCATCTTTTTCACACTCAAGCTTCACTTTAATTTACCTTAGCGGACAAAAACATCCACCAGGAAGTGGCTATTAAAAAAATTAATGCATTACATTTTTTTTCATAGATCTGGTAGACAACTTCAGTCCTGCTCAAACCTATAAAAACTTCTATCATTTTGAGGGTTTTAACCCTTCAAATGCCAGTTTGAATACTCAAAGTCATAGCTGTCATTAATGAAAGAAAAAACACACAAAATTAGTTATTTCCCAAACAAAAACAACAATTTTTTCTTCCTGAGACATTTATTATAAATCAGTCTTGGCTATGTTATGATATATCTGAAATACTAAATTTTTTGCATCAATAGCAACAGATTCAAAAATTACCACCCTCTTGTGATTATTGAGGCCAAAAATTGACCAGGTAATCAAACAAAGTGTTTGATGGTGCCTGGGCTCAGGCAGGTGCATAAATATACTAAATGTTTTTGTTTTCTACACTTTGAAGTTCAGTAACATTTGTTTACTTATCAGAGGTCAGGATGACCGTTTGACTTCAGTACAAACAGCAGATGTAAAGAAATGTGTAGAGTGTCTCGCCTGGGCCATATATGGAGAAATGACTAAATTTGGTGGTGAACAGTAAAAATAATTAATTTTACTACTTTTCTCCTAAATGAAACCCTAACATCACAGAAAGCATGAGTGTTTATTGTAGATGTTACTGGATCAAAAACTGATTTGAATGGAAGTCAATGGTTGCTTTTGTCTGTTAAGGTCAATCTGTTGCTACACAAAAACTATTCATGCAAAAGGTTTAATATTTCAGATATTTTGTAACATAACCAAGACTGATTTATCATAAAATTTTAATCATTTTCCTTAAATTACAGCAATGACTTTGAGTAATCACACTGGCATTTGAAGGGTTAAAAGCCTCCAAATGATGAAGGTTTCTATATGTTTGAGCAGGACTGAAGTTGTCTAACAGATCTATGATAAAAAGAAAAAAATATATGAATGCATTCATATTTTTAAGAGTGGACGTTTTGGTCCTCTAAGGTCACAAGCATATAGTGTTTTTGTTTTCATGTTCCCTTTTCAAAATTTCACATTCAATTAAAAAATTTGTCCAGAGAGAGGCTATGGGACAACATGTTGTACCATACGCACAAACAACGCTAAAATAGACAACAATGACACCTGAGGGTTACACTTACACAACTGGAGTCTGACTAAATATTTTTTGCCCATGAATGTTATTCTGCTTCATGTTTAGACATTCCTCTTGTGACCTTTTGCTATTCCTGGTCATTTTAGATGTTTCCATACTCTCTTCTGGCCATGGCCATCCTGATGTACCTGCCGGCTCTGATCTGGCGCAGGCTCGTCACCCCCACCCTGGGCTCAGACTTGCTGTTCATCATTGATGAACTGGACAAGTCATACAATCGCTCAGTCCGACTGGCTCAAAGCATTCTGGATATGCGCCAAAATACGAAGAACCCGCTGACGTTTCAGGCTGAGCTTCAGAGGTGAACCTTTTGTGACCCTGCTACATACAGACGGGGACAAAATTGTTGGTACCCTTCGGTCAATGAAAGAAAAACCCACAATAGTCACAGAAATAACTTGAATCTGACAAAACTAATAAATAAAAATTCTATGAAATTTAACCAATGAAAGTCAGACGTGACATTATAGCCATGCTTCAGTGGAATTATTTAAAAGAATAAACTCATGGAACCAGCCTGGACGAAGAGGATGGTGCCCAGGGATGAGCGGGTACTCCACTATCTGTATTTGTTCAACCATCTAAATGATCTGTATCTGTACTTGGGGTGGGCGGAGTCTAACCCGGAAGTGGGCGTGGTTTAACTTGGTACATCATTTTGAGACTGAAATTAATATGGATTGATCAGAAGTTGCTTTATGCATTGTTTATTTGAAAACTACAGAGCAGCCTAAGAATTGAGATTCAATGTTTTTGATCACAACAGTAAAGAAACCATTTCAGAACAAGTTTTCAGTAAACTCAGAACAGGAATATTTAAGAACGTGAATGAATGCAACTGAACTCATGCAGTAGGAGATATGAACTAGAACAAGACACAACTTTTTATTTTATTTTATGATCAAACTGATAATTTCTTACATTTTTGGCATTTTTTCCCACACAAAGTTAAACAAAACAATGTTTATTAAGGTTGTGTGTGTGTGTGTGTGTGTGTGTGTGTGTGTGTGTGTGTGTGTGTGTGTGTGTGAGAGAGAGAGATTGTTCTACTGACCAAATAGTCCTGTGTTGTATTTCACGCCTTCATTAATGGAGAGAGAGAGAGAGAGAGAGAGAGAGAGATAGAGAGAGAGAGAGAGAGAGAGAGAGAGAGAGAGGTGAGAGAGAGAGAGAGAGAACCCGACCAGAGCAGAGACGGTGACCGACGCGACACGAGTCGTTTTCAGCTCTGTCTTGTCCAAGGCGTTCTGAAACAAGTAACATTGAACATCATACAAACTGAAAAAGGGGCGAGCTGAAGAAATCCTGGGGACTACTGAAGCAACAAAAGCTAGGGAGTGATCAGTCAATGTCTGTGTGTGAGAGTGGGGCACAGCAGCTCCTCCCTGCAGACTCAGGCGGTTTTGTATGCTGGGAGGGGCGGGTGCTCTTTGCGACTGGTCAATCACAGAGCGGGAAGCCAGTCAGCTACCCAGTCAGGACTTTCCTTCAGCACGGACACAGATATTGTCGAATTTTACTCGTTTTATGCTCGTACTCGTCAAAAATGCTTTATCCGGCTCAACCCTAATGGTGCCCCTAACTTAATCATTTGTTGCACAGCCTTTTAGGAAAATCACTGCAATCAAACAATCCCTGTAACAAAGAGACTCCTGCACCTCTCAGCAGGTATTTTGGCCCTCTCCTCATGAGCAAACTGCTCCAGTTGTTTCAGGTTTTCCAGACGACATGTTTCACCTGCTTCCAAAGATGCTCAATAGAGCTCCGGGAGTTGACGTCACTTCTGCCGGCATGCAACAGTTCAAATCAAAACGGCACCATCTTGGCAGGCAGTAGCCTGCAGCTGGGCTATTTGTTATTGTCAGAAAACTCAATCAAACGGGAAATATGGTAGATTCCTGTTGTGCCCCAGGATGCCAGAACAGACGCGGACGACATAAGGAATGAGCCATCTACAGGATTCCCCAACATCTGGAACCCCGCAAACGTTGGATCACTGTAATAAAACGCGCTAGTTACCAGGCTAAAATGAAACTGTGGGATCCCGAGAGTAAAGGTTTTCGCTTATGCAGCGACCACTTCATATCAGGTACGTTTCCTCAACTGTGTATGGTATTTATTTTAAATGCTTTTATTACGATTCTTAGTGGGCTTCCTAAACTTATTTTGGCGTGGCTTTTTCTGTCTTATTACTCATAGCAACTAGTAAAGTCACGTAAAACGTTGCCTCGTGATTTCTGCGTGCTGCCGTTTACGTGTCTTATGATCACAGCAATTAATCGGCTAAGCTGCATTTCATTTTTAAGCAATGGTTGATCAATTGTCAGATCACACATGAAAAGCACTTTGGATTGCTATTATCTGTCTCACCGAGACAGATCTCAGACAGATCCTGAGACGCTCCTGCCTGACATGTTTATTTTATTGACGGAAAAAATCAGACTAGTGATTTCTCTTGGTGTTCAGTTTATACATTCAAACAGCACAGCACTCTATTTAAACTACTTATGTGTAAATCTGTTATTTGTCCATCCATCCATCCATTTTCATCCGCTTATTTGGAGTCAGGTCGCGGGGGCAGTAGCCTAAGTCGAGAGGCCCAGACTTCCCTCTCCCCAGCCACTTGGGCCAGCTCCTCCAGGGAAATTCCAAGGCGCTCCCTGGCCAGGTCCGCTCCAACAGCTTCTGGCATTTTTAAAAAAGTATCCCAGGGGCATGGTAATGGTCGGAGATGTTTAATCTATTTCATTTCTGACTATATAAAACGATTTCTTCGGTTTTAAAGTGAGAAGTAAACTCAGACGAAATAAAATCCAAGCCGATCCCGTTCATTTTGTTTAACTTTGTTGCCTGCCAACATGGCGTCTATGCTCTGAGAGTCACGTGACGTCCGGAGCTCTATAGGATTGAGGTCATGGCTCATAGGCCACTTTAGAATAGTCTTCCTTTTAGCCATCCTTGGGTGTCTTTAGCTATGTGTTTTGGGTCGTTGTTCTGTTGCAAAACCATGACCTGCCTCTGAGACCAAGCTTTCTGACACATTTCTCTTTAGAATCCCTTAATAGTCTTGAGCAGTGGCAGCTCGTCCATAGGGGGCGCTAGGGCGCCACCCCACCAGTCTCACAGGAAGAAGAATAAGAAGAATCACAAAATTAAAAAATATAACATGAAAATGAAACTAAACGATCTCAACGTCATACAACAAGTGCTGTGTATAATCCAAATGTTATGTACACTTTCCACACTTCCGAATCATCTTGTGATGCATTTCCTGTTACTTTTGAGCGCAGCAGTCTCTACCATAGACCTACGCTAACTGGCGTATTCACGATGGATCCCCCGCTCCAATACAAAGGATAAGAGAGCCTTTGGTCGCGGGTATAACGCCTGTGAAGACACGTACAGGAGACCTGCAGGGCAGAGCCTCAGCTCAGGTCAGGACAGAACCGAATATTCTCTACAGTTTTTTCATATATTTATATGTATGTCAGTACAGTCCTGTGCTGTTGTAGAGCAGCTGAGTACACCTCGTGGAGTTTTGTTATTATGAAGAACCATGAAATGATAGAATGTGGTACCAGAGACTTCTGAACTCTCTCCTGCAAGTAAAATGGTGGAATTTTTTTTTTACTATAACACAGATTATTACAACCGTAAACCAGCAAAAGTAAGACTAAGTTAGTGCTTTTAACTTCATGAAATTAATTTGATTGCTTATTATGCTGAATTTCATATATTGGTAAATATTAAGCACGTTTTGGGAACTATTTTGCTGTTACCGGTCTGTCGGTGCGACGCTTAAGAATGGTGATTTGGTGTTTCCTGGTGGTGATATGTGGTAGTGCATCTGAATTCAGCGCAGTCATCACAACCGCATAAATAAGACTTAAATATTAGAATAATGAGCAATGAGTCTATTTTTAAGCATGCATAATGTCAACACTTTTCTAATCCGTGTTTCTCCTTAAAAACTTTGGTTTTTGACTAGAAATATGATGACATAATGATTAAATATTTACATTTTTGATAAGTGTTATTTAAACACGTAAGAGACTAATGTTTATGTATTTTTATTTTTTTTCTGCCTGCTTGAATTTAAGTGTGGGTTTACAAAAAAAAAACGTGAATGTGACTCGAAATGACTAAATTTTTAAAGATTTTTTTAATAAACTGTAATTTTTTTATTTATCTGCCCCAAAGCCATCATTTTGTAAGGAAGCAAATTGATAAGAAACATGTTAATAGCACATATTTTTTTGAAAAAACTTGTTATTCATATGCACCTTCCCATAACAAGTCACACAAATCTCGACTGGCATGCTCTTTTCGGCACAACACTTGTTAAAATGCTCCCCACCAAAAAATAATTTTACCAGCTGCCATTGGTCTGCAGATTTCACTGTACCCTGCACAGATTCAAGACACCCTGTGGCAGATGCAGCAAAGCAGCCCAGAACATGACAGAGCCTCCTCCGTGTTTCACAGTAGGGGCAGTGTTACAGTGTTCTTTCCTTGATAGGCTTCCTTTTTCCATCCATGAACATAGAGCTGATGTGACACCTTTGCCTCATCTGTCCAGAGGACATTCTCCCAGAAGCTTTGTGTCTTGTCAGCATGTAGTTTGACATACTCCAGTCTGGCTTTTCTATGATTTGTTTTCAGCAATGGTGTCCTCCTTGGTCATCTCCTATGTAGTCCACCTTGGCTCAAACAATGACGGATGGTGCCATCTGACACTGACATTCCTTAAACTTAAAGTTCTCCTTGGATCACTTTAGAAGTTTTTCTGGGCTCCTTTGTTACCATTCCGTGTCATCCGTGTCTTTGATTTGTCATCCATGTTCCTCCTGCTGCCATGTCCAGGGAGGTTGTCTACAGTCCCGTGGATCTGAAACTTCTGAATAATAAGTGCAGCTGTAGTCACAGGAACACCTAGCTGCTGGGAGATGGTCTGATAGCTTTTACCTTTAACATGCTTATTCTGGTCCATGTTGAGTGTGGTGCACACCATGTCACCAAACAGCACAGCAAATACCTGGAGCCCCACTGACTGATTGTAGACACCTGTCATGCAAATTAGTGGACACACCTTGAGTTAACGTGTCCCTTTGTCACATTATTTCAGTCTTTTCTAGGGGTACCATCCTTTTTGTCCAGGCCTGTTCCATCAATTATTTAAATAATTCTGTGGAAGCACAGTTGAAAGCATGTCTTACTTTCATTGGTTAAATTTCATAGAATTGTTATTAATTTTGTCAGGTTTCAGTTATTTCTGTGACCATTGTGGGGTTTTCTTTCATTGATCGAAGGGTACCAACAATGTTGTCCACATGTGCACCAGCTTATGCTTTCATATGCTTCCTGTGTCCAACAACACCTTAAAATTAATCACTGTGTGGCAAGGTGGAGAAGCAAGGGCCTGAGCGGGATTCGATCCCCAGACTCCCGGGTGAGAGTCACCCTAACCCTAACCAGTCAATCAAAAGGACATCCCCTTGGCCAAGCAGCCAGGGTGCATGACGAATCGGCACACAGTGACACTCGCCCTGTCACAACTTGAACAAACTTTTAATCATTCTGGTAGAGAATTTTAATTGAGCCAAAGAAAAATATTGTCCAAAGGTTTAAATTGTCAGCCAAAACTCTGAAGTCTTTTAGGAAAACCTCACCTTTAAAATCGTTATTGTTTGAAATCTAACCCACGCATGTGTCAATGCATTACGTGACCAGTCAAAGACGTGGAAACACTGGTACAAGTCATTTTCTATTTTAAATTAGGGAGTCACAGTCATTTATTGTATCTTCTGTTTTTCATGATTGCCTCTAGTGTGTTATATTGTGCCCATCTCATTTTATCTTACCTGTACAGTTTTTCTACATCTGTGAATTGGACTAGGGTCTGGAATAAAGCCTTAAACCAGGTTCTAATTGGTGAGATGGTGAGCTGACTCTTAAGCTTAGAATTAGAGGACTGTGACAGAATGTGGAGGAGCTCAGATGGTTAGGTGTGTGAGTTTAAACATCATTCTGATGTTCGTTTTCTTTCTTCCTCTGCAGGGCCAAGAGGAAGCGATACTTTGAGTACCCCCTACTGGAGAGATACTTGCAGTGCAAACAAAAATCCTATTTTCTTGTCAGCATGCTTTTTCTGCGAAGCTTTCTCCTCCTGACCTTCATAACATCTGCCTGCCTCTACCTGGTCTACTTCCACCTCTCAGCCTTCTTGCAGGATGAATTCAGCTGCTTTGTCCGAACAGGGATGCTGCGAGATCAGATCTGGATCCCAGAGCTTGTTCAGTGCAAGATCATTGGTCAGTTGGTGTTTCAGGTGATTGGCATGGTGAACGGTGCCATCTACGTCCTGCTGGGACCCATCATCCTCTTTAACCTTATCCGACTCTTTGTCTGGGACAGTGCCCTCATCTCTGTCTATGAGGTCCTCCCAGCTCTGGATCTCCTTAATCGCCAAAGGCTGGGATGTCCACTGAATGACCTCAATGTCCTCCTGCTGTTTCTGAGAGCCAATGTGGCTCACCTGAAATCGTATGGACAGGTGAGGGCTTTGTGCTCTCTTGCACCACCACAAGTGGGCAGTAGTGCAGCAGGCCAGGGCTTACATGCAATGCTGACCCAAGAGGAAATAGAGGAGCGTGAAGAAGCTGCGATGGAGTTTGCAGAGGAAGTGAGAGAGGCCAAGGAGGAAGGGAAGTTAAACCTGGTGGATATCATGACTATTCTGGGAGCAGCTCAGGGAAGAGTGATGAACTGCAGAGAGAAGAAGCCTCTGGTGGAAGAAAATATGAGTCTGGGTACCAAAACACTTGCCTACACTGTCAAATGCATTCTCCTAGCTGCTGTTTTCACTTTCATCATTTGGGATGTACAGAAAATTATTGCCTAATCTCCAGAAGAGAGATGCTGCTTGAGTTGTGCTCTCTGGGTGAGATTACTTCAGGAGAACTTATGGAAAAATTAGTTTGGAAAGTTTTCCCACTGTATATCGAAAATTTTAAACAAATATTGTCTTCGCTGTTTACTGCTTTCCTCTTTAAATCTGAGTATTATAACCACAGATCAGTCTTTGCCCTAACTGGCCTCTCTGTCTCTTCACAGAGCCAAACCAGCAGGGGTACCGCGAGTTGAAGGAGACTGCACCATTCAGTCATTACTAGACCTTCAAAGGACTGAATCAGAATTGGGGTGTGTGGGTGGGGGTTGTCCTCTGTAGAAAAAAAGAGCTTTTTAAAATCACAGATTGCTCCTACTGCAAAGGCTGATGATGGGTCTGCTTCCTGCTGCTGGACTTGTGAGGCTTCCAGAGACTTGATCTGTCTTAGAGTGAGAAGACAACGTTTCAGAGAAGATGTCTGCTGGAATGTGGGTGCAAGATGATGTTATATTGAGATTTAGGCCCTGTTCCAGTCAGTCACATTTATAGTAATACTATTAGTATTGTGGCTGAAGTTAATTTGCAATATTTGTATTGTGTTGTTAATTGACATTACCCCATCAAATACAGCTGTTAAATAAGAAGTAAACCGGTTTCTAGCATCAGTTCTCAACTCATCAGTTTATAAAACTGTGGTGTAAAAACATCAGCCAAAGAAAACAAAGCAGCAAATCTATCCATTTTCTCCACCTATCTGGGGTCGGGTCACTGGGGCAGTAGCCTAATTCGAGAGGCTCAGACTTCCCTCTCCCCAGCAACTTGGGCCAGCTCCTCCGGGGGAATCCCAAGGCGTTCCCTGGCCAGGTAAATCGAGAACTTCGCCTTCTGACTCAGCTCTCTTCACTACGACAGACCGGTACAACGCCCACATCACTGCAGATGCAGCACCAATCCGCCTATCGATCTCATGCTCCAGTTTTCCCTCACTTGTGAACAAGACCCCGAGATACTTAAACTCCTCCACTTGGGGCAGGACCTCATCCCTGACCTGGAGAAAGCATTCTACCCTTTTCCAAATCAAGTCTCGGATTAGAGGACCATATTCTCATCCCAGCTGCTTCACACTCGACTGTGAACCGCTCCAGTGAAAGGAAGAGATCATTATCTGATGAAGGTAAAAGGACCACATCATCTGCAAAAAGCAGAGACCGAATCCTCACTGGAAATGAGCCTGACTTACTGCCGGCAATGCAGCCCAAGCTCCCACTCCAGTCATACAGGGACCTAACAGCCAGAATCAAAGGGCCTGGTACCCCATACTCTAGGAGTACCCTCCACAGCTGATTATCACACATACTAATTAGCTCAAATCAATATGTGGCTTTTAACAAAGTAATTCATGGGAAACATATTCTTGCCTTTAAGTGGTTAATTGATTGTTGTTTAGGCTCTATTAACATGTGGAGTTTGGTGTTTATGTACATAATACCAGAACAGAATATTTTTGGTTATTAATGCAGAACAACAATTCCCCTTGAATTACTTCTTTAAAAGCCACATATTGGTTTGAGCTCATTAGTATGTGCGTTAATCAGCAATAAACCATTTACTTTCAGTTAACAAACCATTACGAATGGCTTATTATGATAAAACTCTTAATTTATTGCCTGTTAATGTTAGAATTACGGCATTAGTAATAAGCTGTTAAAAGTGCTTAATAATGAGTAGTTCAGACTTAGTAGTCCACTAATATGCATATTAGTAGGCAGCTAATTAATGGTTAATTTGTGTTCCCTAAACTAAAGTGTTACCAAAATTTCCACTTCACACTTATAATTAACCTCTGAAGGAAGGCGTGATTTCTGAGGTATTTTGGTAATGCCCTTTAAACGTGTCAAATTCTGATTTGTCTAAGGTTATAAACAAAAGTTAATAAAAGCGAGAACACTTCCTGTCTAGCAAGTCTCCACAGTTCACTTGATAAGGCCAATCAGGTGAACAAGCATTTTGAGACCATCCTTTTCTTTTGACCTCAAGGTCAAAGCCTCTCTGCAATGATTGTTTGTGATTTCAGACACAACAGCTCTTTTAAGAGCCACCCAACACCTCAGACGTTGAACATCTAATCTGCAGACCCTGGTTGCACCTCATGGCTGGACTAGAAATCTGAATTCAAAGGGAACTGCACCTGTTTGAGTTCCTGTGGTCTCGATGTCTGGCGAACCTCACCACTCAGGCCGCTTTCAATCAGACCGCTGATGGGCACCGTCACACAAGGGTGTGTAGGCTCTGCACGACTGCGTTGGATGGTTTCATAAACAAATCCCCAGCTTATCAAACCAAACAGCCAAATAGATTTTACCACCCAGACTCCACAATCTCTCAGATACTTAAGAGAGGATTTGCTGAAACATCTAGATCACATTCCACTCATATTCTGTTATCTGTACAACCGTTTAGTTTAGGAAAACAGAATTAAAATCATTATATACGCTATTGGCTGTCTGGATTAATACAAAGTGTTTGTGGTCCCTGAACAAGTCAAAGAAACAAAATTCTTCTGATTAAACATTCAAAGACCAATCAGATTGATATTTCATATTTGTATGGAACATCACATCTTATTGATCATTTAACAAATATGTAATCAGTCATTAATGCTACATCTCTATAAGAGCTTCCTGAGCTGAAGAGGATGTGAGGTTCTGGACTTTTCCTCAGACAGGCTCATGGATGCGACGCCATATTGGAGACAGGAACCAGCGCTATTCAGCCAAAGTTTCATCATCAGGAACATTTTCTAAGTGACAAGTCTCTCTGAGAGACAGGGTTTGGACAACACTCGCTTTGGCGAGAGGAACCTTCCTGCGTGGCTCTGGTTCTGCTGCTGCCGGTGACCGATGCCCCTCTGCAAATCTTCAGCTTGTCCACCCTACGAGCGTGATAACAGCGAGCTGCTCTGAGCTCATTGTCCAGCTCAGTGTCACGTTGAGGGGATGTTTGGGACCCAAATATGCAGATTTACCCAGGATGACTCGAGGCAGAAGTTGGTAAAGTAAAATCCCTTTATTTTGGAAGAACAAAAAATAAATCCAAGGCAGCGTGCCTGAAGTCCAAAAGTCCTGGAGCACAGGACACCCAAAGCTCTCTTGGAGCACCAAAAACCTGGAGACCAAAAAAGGCTCAGACAGAGCACGAACAAACGCTGACAGAAATACAAACAACAGTGGACCGACAAGACACTGAGACAAAACAGGGCTTAAATACACTGGGGCATAATGGGAGGGTGATGAGCTGTAGGTGTGAGGGGAGAGAACTAGGTGAAAGTGATAACTAATCAGGGAGGAGGAGCAGGAGAGGACACCAGACCTAACTGGGAAAGGACAGGTTCTGATGGGAATCTTTTCTTGATTGATTTTCTACCTCCATGATGTGCGTAACGAATAAAATGTCAGCCCACCTGCATGCGTCGGGGTAATTCTTTCAAAACGCCCAACAGCCGTTGGACATCAGAACATCCCGCAGTACACTTGTGCTTGGTCTGCACAAGCGCTGAGAACTTTCCCTTGGATTCCATCCGGGCCTGCCGCCTTCCTGGGATTAACTGACTTTAAAACGCGTCTCACTTGGTCCTCCTGCAGAGTCAGCGTGCCGTTGTTTGGGACGGGTGGGGGTGGTATGGCCACCGCTGGCTTGGTTGTCTCAACACGGGCAAAAAAATGGTTTAAGTCCTCGGCCAGTAGTCTGTCGTCCTTTGATGTTTCCTGTTTCCTGCCTCTGTAATTAGTGATGTGGTTTATTCCCTGCCACATTGCCCTGGGATCGTTGTTTGCAAAGTGATCCTCAATTTTCCTCTTGTAGGCTGCTTTGGCTTCTCTGATGCCTTTCTTTAATTCTGCCCTCGCTGCCTTACACGCTGCCTGATCACCCAACTTAAAGGCTGTGTCCCGGCTTCTTAGAAGAGCATTCACCTTACTAGTCATCCAGGGTTTTTGGTTTGGGAACACTCTGATCCGTTTGTTTATGGTGGCAGTTTCCACTCAGTTCCTAATGTAGGAAAGTACGGTATCGGTGTGCTCCTGTAGATTTTGGCTGTAGAATAAGTCCCAAATAGTTGAGGAGAAGCAGTCACGTAGCTGTGAGATGGCTCCTTCAGGCCAGATTTTGATTATCTTAGTTTGGGGCTTACTTTTCCTCAGCAGGGAGACGTAAGTGGGAGTGAGGGACAGACAAAGGTGATCAGATCCAGCCAGACGTGGGAGGGATTTCGCTTTATAGGCACTTCTAATGTTTGAATAAACATGATCCAAGGTATTTTTCCCTCTGGTGGCAAAATCGACAAACTGGACAAATTTGGGCAGCACCGTTTTTAGGCATGCTTTATTAAAATCTCCAGCAACAATGAAGACCCCGTCAGGATGCGTAAGCTGTAATTTATTTATGGTATTGAGCAGGAGGCTGAGGGCCGTGCTCACGCTAGCCTCCGGCGGTATATACACAGCCACCACAATCACTACTGTAAACTCCCTCGGTATGTAAAAAGGTCTGCATGAGACCATCAGAAACTCCACATCAGGAGAGCATTGTGTGTTTGGCCATACAATCGATGTGTTTGGCCAATAGTCACGTGGGTTCCACCTCCGTTGTTTGCTATCTAGCTAACGAGCTAGTTCTCGGCTAAAAGAAGCACAAATACAAAATAAATGATTATAATAAGCTTACTTACACTTACCTGCCAACTGCAAAATGTGCACGTGTTCAACCTGCCACCCATTAGTAGGCCTCTTGCCACCAGTGCTGCGACACAACAAGATACTCTTTTGTAGAGTCTGCAGGATCAAAGTCCAAAATCCATTGGACTGGAACAATGCCGAGAGCATCTTTGTCGTCGCCCTTTGACTAGCTCACTTGTGCAAACTTCATCTTTTTTGCACAGTCGCAGATGTGGCGACTGTGTTGACCAAATTACTGTAAATATTCTCACACGCTCATTTTTTGATTGCACATTCTTTTTATATTTTGCATTTGCATCTTCTTCTTTGTAGTGTTTAATTGCGATTGGCAAACAGCTCTAGGTGCATTATCACCACCTAATTGTTTGGAGTGAACTAGCTCGACCCATATCAGAGACGTAGAATTTCTCATTTGTTTCCTAAACTTTAATGAGCGAACAAAATACATCAAGAGGTAGGAAATATTTGCTGTTCTACCCTTTCAAATTGGTGGGTGGTGATAATGCGCCTAAAGCAGTTTGCAAAGCATCATTCAACTGCAACAAACAAGATGCACACAACAGCTGCGCTGCAAGAAAACATGAGCAGCATGGACAGAAGAAGAACATACTCTGCCCCTGGTTCAGAAAATGAGATTCCATCAAGAACAAGGGATACTGGAAAAGGACATTTGTGTCTTACTTTAACTAGGGAAGTTGCAGTAATTAACAGTTGTTCTGAATTTAGATTAATGTTCCGTGATTGGTGTGCTAGCTAGCATAGCACATTGGCTCGCAAACTTTATTTGAACTGACCGCAGTTTCTATGATCATTGAGACAATGTCTTTAGCAGTGCACAGCACAAACAAACAAACAAAAGAGAGTTAGAGATTTAATTAAAGCTGCAAGCAGCCTCATTCGGCCCTTGCAGCTCTGCGCCACTCCGGCCTGGCCGGCATCCCGGAGCACCAGGGCACGTCCGTGGAACAGAAACGTTGACCACCCCGACACCAGAAACCGCTAACGTCACCTCATCCGCACCTCACCCTGACTCAGCATCCCCTCTGAGCCCACCATTATATTACAAGTCTCACCACTAGGGCATACTGTGATGACAGTGACCAACTTTAATACTATTCTGACCATGTTTTTTAAAGTTATCGAAGGTTAAATTTATCTAGGGGGCACTGTGACCAACTACAGAAAAGTCCCATTAAGGTCAGCTTTGGTTGACAAAGATGGTTTTCTGTTACTTTGGCATCAATCGGACGTTGTGTGTTATCTAAAGCCAGTTAGCTGAAAGGGGCGAGCTATAGGGATTTGAACCAACAACCCCATCAATGTGTTTGGTGCAGTCACGTGATGTCACAAGCCAAGTTTAATGCCATTCTGACCTTGTCTTTAGAAGTTAATAAAGTTTGAACCCATCTAGGGGGTGCTGTGACCATTTACAACTAAATACCATAGAGGTAATCTTTGGTCATCAAAGATGGTTTTCTGTTAATTTGGCATAAATCAAATGTTGCATGGGTCATCTAGAGACAAAAAGCTGTAAGTGGGCAGAGTTAAAGTGAATTGAACAAGTGAGCACATACATGTGTTGTTGCAGTTGTGTGATGACTGCCACCAAGTTTGATATAGTTTGGAGCTTTTTTGCAGAAGTTACAAAGGTTTTTTGTACCTAGGGGGCGCTGTCCCAAATTTAGGAATTATTCCATGAGGAAGTTTGTAGGTTGATAACAGTCATTTGTGTGCAGTTTAGTGTGAATTGCATCATCCATGTGTTATTCAGGGCCTAATATCTGTCAGGGGGCGGAGCTAATGCGATATCAACCAATTACCTCAGGATTGTGTTGGGTGCCCTTGTGTGATGACACATAGCAAGTTTATTTTAGCTACGACCTCGTCTGTAGGAGTTATTACAGTTTTAATGGTGTGTAGGGGGCGCTGTGGTGATATTATACAAAGTTCACCAACTGTTTGAGTCTCATTGGCTAAAGGGCATAACTGTTGATTGCCATGTACAGTCTCGTACAGATCGGAGGCTGTTTGTGGAAGTTACAATCAAACGTAAGGTCACGGCGTCATGCCAGAATTCGCCATGGCATCAAAGCCCCTCCCTTTCTGGAAAGCTATCAGAACTGAATGGTCATTACATCATCATGAAGACAGTGCATGACCTTAGTGTCATGTTGACTAAATTAGAGGGGACATATATGGGCATTTCACCATAAAACAATAGACTTCCTTTTGTCAGGGAGCGAGGCTTAGGTGATGTCAGCTGTCAACATTGTCATTGTCTTCAGATGTGGTCAGTGATCACACAGACAAAGTTTGATATAGATCTGATCATGCACATGGGAGTCATTACGTCAAGTAATGTAATGGCGAAAGGTCAAAGTTTGAGGCTTAGCCACACCCACACCTTTCAACCTTTGAAAAATCCGACGGTTGAGTTTTTTCCCCTATGTCTTAAGAGTATATAGCAGAAGTTTTAAGGCAATTGGTGAAAAGGACGACGGGGCATCATTCTCCAAACAACGTGTGCGAAATCCACTAAATCAAGAACTTGGACCAAAATGGCCAACCTCCTGTGCAACTTCGCACTTGGCTTCAGGAGACTTTTTTGTAGGTCCTGAGACACTACATTAGTGTACCAAATTTTGTAATCCTCAGTCAAAACATGGCTTGGGGCTGACAGTTTTAATGGTCCTAGGGGGCGCTATTTAACAAAATAGGCCACGCCCACCGGATATTCACATCAGATTTTTAGGGGGGCCAGACTAGGATTACTCACAAGAAGTTTTGTGGCGATATCTTTAAAAATGATGAAATGGGAGGCAAATGTAAGGCCACAGCGGTACGCCTGACTTCGCCGCGCCGCCACAGCCCCGCCCTCTGCAGAAAACTCCCATAAAGTGACGCCAAGCAACCCCCACTTGACTTGAGTTACCAGCTACAAATTTGTGGTGATTAAGTGAAATGGGGCGATTTGGGACCAATCACAGTAAAACTTGACCTTTTTGGTCCTGAGGGGGCGGGGCTTGTGTGATGTCATCGTCCGACATTTCAGTTTTCTTTGTGGGTGGACGACGAATGACCACAGAAATTTTTGTAACTCTTTTCCATTCAGTTATGAAGTTATAGCAATTAAAAACATTTTGGCGAGTAGTCAAACTTCAAGGCCTGGCCCCGCCCCTTCATCATATACAAAAATTCAGAATACTACTCTCATTTTGTTCGCCCATCCCTTCTGAGCAATTTTACACAATTTTTGAGATGATCCTGCAAAAAATGATCGAGCAATCCAATCAGAAACGGACCCTAAAAACGGCCAAAACGGATAAAATCGCCATTTCAACCCAAAATGGCCGACTTCCTGTTTGATATTGACCATGGATGCAAGAGACTTTTCTGTGAGGACTGTTGAGTACTACAAGTGAGGGGTATTTTTCACTTTTTAGGAGGCGCTGTTCAGCCATTTTCTTTGCGATTATTTTCGGACATTTATAATATCAAATTTTTCACCAGGCCTGACAAGTTTGCAAAATATTGTGAGTTTTGGGGTATTCAAAGCCATTCAAAGGGGCACCGGAATGATGAATAATAAACGGAGGAAAAACAAGAGGCCTTCGCAGCGCTTTCGCTGCTCGGGCCTAATTATTCTTTTTCATCTCCAGGCCACTCACCACATAACCCTTTCCTTCAATAACTTTCTATGGACATCTGAAGTTGTTCATTAAAAATACACATACCTGTTAATTCTTATCACAGGAAACTTGCTGAGGCCATATTCATGCATCAGTCAAAACCAGAAAAGGTAAGTTATGAACTGGACCTTTTGTGCGTTTTTTTTTTTTTTTTTTTTTTACATTGGCCACTTTGCTCACGTGATGTGTACATATCTCAATTTTCTGTGTTCTGTAAATAACTAATACTGTTACTACTAATCTACTGGCAACTATGGGGTGTATCTCAGTGTCTGAAATGTCAGCCAACAATGAGCTGCTGACTAGAAAATAATCCACATGTGAATGTGAGTGATGAACGTGTGAAAAAAAGTATATTCTCTACGGTTAGGATGAAGAGATCGCAATGCATCACAAAGCCCATAATCACTGCGTACCGTGCGCCGTTAGTGGCAGCGAACAGAGTAGGGTCGGAGAGGGCGGGGCGGGGCATGACGCTTAGCCTGGCGGGTGACCAAGCAATGCCAGGCGGGCCACCAGGCTTATAAAGCACTGGGGGAAACCCTGATATATTACACTGTTAACTGTACTGAATGTTAGACTGTTAACTGTGTTGTATGTTATACTGTTAACTGTATTATATATTATACTGTTAACTGTATTATATATTATACTGGTAACTGTATTGAATGTTAGACTGGTAACTGTATTGTATGTTATGTTAACTGTATAATATATTTTACTGGTAACTGTTGTAAACTGTGCTAACAGTTTTATATATTATACTGTTAACTGTATTATATATTATACTGTTAACTGTATTATATATTATACTGGTAACTGTATTGTATGTTATACTATGTTAACTGTATAATATATTATACTGGTAACTGTATTGTATGTTATGTTAACTGTATAATATATTTTACTGGTAACTGTTGTATACTGTGCTAACTGTATTATATATTATACTGTTAACTGTATTATATATTATACTGTTAACTGTATTATATATTATACTGGTAACTGTATTGTATGTTATACTATGTTAACTGTATTATATATTATACTGTTAACTGTATTATATAGTATACTGGTAACTGTATTGTATGTTATCTATGTTAACTGTATAATGTATTTTACTGGTAACTGTATTGTATGTTTACTGTTAACTGTATTGTATCCCAAAATTGTGGGGGAAAATAAATCCACACTTCACAGAAGTCAAAAAAGTCTGTATAGGTGAAGTGTATCACCCACAATCCATTTTGTTGGAGAAAAGGCTTTTTAGAAAATATATATTTTCTAATGAAAGTTTTTATTCTTAAGATGATTAGTTGACGCTCTGAAACTTTTATAAAAAGCAAAAATTAATGAATATTTATTTCAAATAATAGCTTGGTTGTTTGTTTGAAAGTTGTTAATAAAGGTTTTTCAAAAGTATCACAGCGACCAGCATCCCGGCATGCGTTGCGGTTGATGACGCAACGCTCCTGCAAACTTGTGCACACTGTCGGAGCTTCGCAGCGCACTTTCTCCAAGTGTACTTTGTTGAGGGCGAGCGTCGGGCTTGGGCCTGTGTCTATGGTGCTAGTAATGTGCGTGAACTAGCTTGTATGGAGCACAGGAGTTTTTTCTGCCGCCTCGGCGGAGCGGAGCTATAAGTGACACACCTAGCCTTAGCTACCGAGCATTGTTATTATTAGCGTCAGCATTGATGCTACCGATCGTTACTTCAGTGTGTCTGGGCCGGTAAACTATCGGTAAACATGACTGACGCAATTTTACAAGTAGGGCCGGGAGTTTTTATCATTGCTGTCGTTTGGATCGCGGCTCTTGGGTTCGGGATAATTCTGCTGAGAGCAGCTGGGTCTGCTAAGTAAGTGACACACACACACACACACACACACACACACACACACACACACACACACACACACACACACACACACACACACACACACACACACACACACACACCTGTATAAAGTTGACCTTAGCACAACACTCAACGTGACTGCTTATGTAACCTGCTCTTCATTTTTCTTGTTAACTCAAATATTGAAATAAAAACAAATTTTGTTTGTTGCCGCTTGCTTTTCCTATTTACCACTCATGGTCGTGTTATTTTATGTGCTATTTGATGCAGTATTTTTCAACTTTGGTCCTCAGGGCACAGTACCTCGCATGTTTTGGGACTTTCCCCGCTGTAACACACCCCATTCAGATGATCTGAATGGTGATGACCTCAGTGATCAGACACACCTGGACAACCAGGTTGTCCAATGATGTAAGGCTGGGAGTAAAAGCGCTGTACTTAGTTCAGGAAATAGTGGAGTTGTGCACAAAGCTCAGAAAGTACAAGTTTGTTTTAAAAAAAAATAGCACAGCTCCACCAAGAATATTTTTCACCAGCCGCCACTGGAACCAAGCTGGAGAATAAGACAATGAAATGTGAGGGGAAAGACGTGCGGACAAGATGGTGTTTGTTTACATTATTTTCCTGGGAAAGACAACTCTGCGCCTGCTCAACCTGTTTAGTCTGAATGTTGGTGCATGTATACTCATGGCATGACCGGATCATTTCTGTTAGTGTTCATGTAAACACAGATTTGGGATTTCTGATCAACCAAGACTTGAATTGGATAGGGGAAATTTGGCATATGTAAACCTAGCTAGTGACATGATCCTACCCAGACCCAGGACTTGCACACAGACCAGGAAATAAAGAGTGAAATCCTGATCTTTAACCTGTTTTTGTGTTTTAGGTTAGGGGTCATCCCTGTTTTCAGCCTGGCTCTCACCATCACTTTGGCTCTGGTGTTCTTCCCTCGCCACCCAGAGAACCCGCCCTCCTTCAGAGTGATTGAGGTGATCTTCGTCAATTCATCACATCCTTTTAGTACACTTCTAATACTACTGTGTTTGGACCAGGGTTTTCTTGCTGTCCATCACTGATTCTGATCGCATGGACATGTTATGAGGAGTGCTACTGGCTGCCTGATCTAGAAAAAATGAAACCATAAAATCGCCCTAATTTAGACAAAAATGTGTTTTTACTTACCTTTTCAAGAGAAAAAGACTTGTATGAACAAGCAATGTTTGTTCTATATGACAACTCGTAAGCCTCCTACTCCCGACTCACGTTTTAATGAGAGGTGAGATAGTTGAAGAAAACCAGAAAAGGTCTGTTATTTTATTAAAACTACGAGCATCATCATGTTCTGGGTGGTTAAGAAGTTATACCAACGTACTGCAGCACAACTATTCAGTCAAAAGGAAAACAGACCACTAACTAAGCTCTAATAGTTCTATGGACTATACAAAACACGTTCACAACTTTATTTGCACAAAACCGTTTTATTCTTGGTATTTTATCCATTTTATTCAAAAGTGGACCAAATATACAAATAATGTATTAAGTGTTATTTTGATATTTAAAGGAAAAATAGACTTGGATATAGACCAAAACTTATATCTCTATCTTTTTGCTGAATTCCGATGTACAATATATATTTCCATATTTTTCCTCCTGTAACATATTTACAAGTTAACTCTCTTCAAGCTGTCTTGAGAAATTATAAAGATAAATCAGTAGATTAAATGCATAAAAATGTATTCATTCTTGTCAAACTTTAACAATAGTGCCTATTTTCTGGTACAGCTGTCTGAACACACACACACACACACACACACACACACACACACACACACACACACACACACACACACACACACACACACACACACACACACACACACACACACACACACACACACACACACACACACACAGTTGAGAGCTAGATGTGTATCAAATGTCCCACAGGTACTTTTTAATTATATATTAATGTAAAATTATTTAAATTTCATCTAGAGGTGGCCATATCGTATATTTCTTGTCCAGAGAAAATAAATCTGTCATGTTAAGCTAAATGTATGATGATGTAATTGCATCTACTGAGGATCACATGGGTCATGCACCGTGGAGTTATTAGTTGTCAGGGCAAACATGGCAGGAGTCTAACAGTGTTGGCTCATATCAGCGATTATACTGTAAAGACTTGTCTCTGGTTGGTCTTTTATGAGTATTATTTTCAGGCTACTGTCGCCGTAACCCACGCCTTACAAACTTAACTTTTTCAACAGAATCACTCGTAACGGAGTATTTACTAGCATAGCAAACCAGAGAAGGAAAAAATGGAACCGGAACATTTCTCACCTGTTGAGCTCGCCTTCAAAATAAAACAGTAACCCTATAGTTTACTATTCAAACCCTTACAATATGTTTGAGGTCATTGGGCCCCTCCGGTGTCGGTACAGGATCTGCTCGGGTACAGGATCTGCTCGGAGTCCTTCGACTGCAGATGACGTCACATTACTGCAATTCTACTCGGCTTTCACACACACGTTTTGGAAAGACATCAGCAGTTTTGTTAATACATTCTTGTTTGTTAACACCTAAATGTTTTCTTTATAATTGTAATTTGTTAATAAAACACCATATTATCTTTGTTTTGTAAAAAATGTGAAACTGCATAAAACCAACACCGGACTGACAAAAAATAGAACAGTACTTATATGTGAAGCCATATCTGTTTGTATTAATGTGGAGTTCGTCTGTATATTTCCTTAGTTGTTATCTAAATACATTATTTGACTCAAAATATTGTTTGGTGTCTTTCAATAAAGTTATATTTTATTTTGCCCCATTTCATCAACATCAAGAGCTGTTGAGGGTCACCATTTATCATTTGCTTATATTTTACATTTCCTTTAGAAATTCAAACATATTTTCTCCAAAAAGTGTTGATATTTGGACTATGGGACTACAACCGCTAACACTACGACTGCAAATTTGTTCTGACCAATCAAAATCATAACGTGATAACGTCACTTCCGTAAGCTTCATGTTCAGCCAATCAACTACTTTGACGTCATCGGCAGTCGAATGACCCCGAGCCGATCCTGCACCCGAGCAGATCCTGTACAGACACCGGCTATCCTTAGATGTTTCCTGATTACACAGGGGTGGGAGGGGTTTGGCTCATCTCTCTGCACAAGCAGGATGGAAAACAGAACTCCGTTGGCGTTGAACGTCTCCAAATAATTAAAGCCAGAACGCCAAATGCAAAGTTTAGAGCACCACATTTACCCAGAGGCTCTCAGATTGTGCAAACTTGTGAGAACACGTGTAATAACGGCTTAGAGCCGGAGCAACATGTCGCTAGCATAGCGGCTAATCACTAGCAGAGTAGTTTGACCAGTTATATCGATACAAAGATATTAGGTAGAAAGCTCTGTAGCAACTAGTGACTCCACCCCCTAGCCAGCAAGTGACCAACAGTCGCTGATGATGTTTTAAAGCTTCTTTTTTTCATTTTAGAGGCACAGAGGTAACCATAGTGACAGTCCATCATCCTAATGAACTAAAGTAGCTCAGTTTTACCCAAGTTGTCCCTAAACTGTTCTGGAGATGGGGTTGGTGAGATAACCCCCGATCCCACACCGCCAATATGTAAACATGGAGCACATCCTTTTCTTAGATTCCGCTTTCGACTATGAAATTCAAAATGACTTGTTAAGTGATGGCTTACAGATGAGTACACATCCACTCACAAGCACACCCACACCCTCAGAGAGGCTGCTCCTCTTCTGTTAGAACAACTTTTGGGGCATTTTCATTCTGAGTTTTCATCATCAAGAATAAATATGAACAGAGTGAGAATCTGGTGGTTCCACAATAAATACAGTGCAGAACCTCCTCATCCGTCTGCTGGCAGCCCTCTGCTGACCTCAAGTGGATATGGTTAGAGTTGCAGACACAAAGACTAGCTTTGGTTTCCATGCACGTGCTATAGTTTAATGTTCTTCATCTTCTCTTTCTGCAGATTGTGGACACTTTTTTTATTGGTCGCTACATTCTTCTGGCTGTAGCAGGTCTGGTTTTTTTGGTGGCGTTCTTCATGATGCTTCCCTTCTACCTTTTGGAGCCTGTGTCAGTCAAGGCCATGAGGACCTTTTAGACCGCCAGCATCTGGATGTTTTGAAGAGAAAACCTAACAAGAGACTTTGTGTTTGATGCTTTTTATTTAATTTTAGATTGTTTAGAAACTGCAGTAACATATCTTAAGCTTAGTTTATTCGTTCAGTGTAAATTGAAAAGGATACCGTGGTTATCCAGTAATAAAACACAATACATAAAGACCTTGTTATTGTGTGTTTTTAATAGAGGTTTGAATCTTGAACAACAACTCACGAGTTAATTCAATTTTGATTCCCGGGGTGACAATTTGATTCAGAATTGATTCACAATCAGTACTCTAAATAAAGAGTGTGTGTGTGTGTGTGTGTGTGTCTGTGTGTGTGTGTGTGTGTGTGTGTGTGTGTGTGTGTGTGTGTGTGTGTGTGTGTGTGTGTGTGTGTGTGTGTTCTGTCTTCTCAATCCCCCGTGAGTCGTTGCCAGGACCCCACAATCCTGGGAATTTTAAGAAGCCAAGAAGATTGCAATTCCACCCTCATCCACTAGGCACTGGCACCAGAAGTGAGCAAATCCTCATCAGCATCGTTTATAAAACACCTTCTCACACTTATAATGCCCAAAGTGCTTTCCATGATACACTTAAAAACACATCAACTGTAACATCTATACAATTATAAAGCTGTCTCATACCCAGACAATAGCAGTAGAGACAATAAAATACAGAGAATAAAACAAAACTCACCTCAACTCTTATAGGAAAGCCAAAGAATAAAAATGGGCCTTTAATCTACTCTTAAAAACATCCAGTGATGGAGCTTGCCTGACCACTAGTGGGAGACCATTCCATAATTTAGGTCCAAGAAATGAAAAAGCCCGCTCTCTGGTGACCCGATTTACCATTGGAACTTCCAACAGGTCCATTGTTGACGATGGAACGTATCGGTCTAGAAGGTTAGACAGAAATGGTGGGGCAGTTCCCAGCAGCGATTTAAAAACAAAAATCTTCATTCACCTGTAGAAAGTTCCCAGCCATCCAGGTTTTAATAGAGTCTAAGCAGGAGTGTAACAGCTGCAGCTTAGACATCTCATGGGGCTTAAAGGAGATGTGCAATTGGATGTCATCTGCGTAAAGACGGTAGGAGACTCCTTTGAAGGAGTTAAGGATGTGCTGAAGAGGAAGCAGATAGAGGAGGAAGAGCAGAGGCCCCAGCACAGAACCTTGTGGGACACCATGGGTGAGAGAGTTGGTGGAGGACCTAAACTTGGAGACGGCCACAGAAAAGGAGCGCTCAAAGATAAGAGGAGAACCACTCCAAAGCATTGTCCTGTCCTGAACCGCTCCTGTCCGCACATTGTCTGAACACCTACCTAAAATGGCTGGTTTAAATGCAGGATTATGGCAAATAGGAACATAAACAGATATGTCAGGGAGATTTAATATTTTCTTTATTGTTTCAAGATTCGAATGGAGTTACGCAACATGAAGTTGTGTGACTAAATTGGAAGGAATGTCTTGATTACTAAATGCCAATGCCATTAGTGACGCGCCGGCAAGAGACCTGCAGGTATGCTGTTCAATTGCAGGCCATCGCAGAACTGGTTCATTAGCACCACTGTGGTGGCACCAACAAACCCAAGCAAGCCCAGTACCATACAATACCACACCACTAAGGTGCATTTTCCCACAGCGTGTCAGCTGCCCGAAGCGCCGTACAACAAGATTACAAAATTGTGTGGCATTGCATCCTCCAGCGCTTTGAAAAGGCAAGTGTAGTGTTGCAGGCTGTGGAGCTAGACCTGTGCAAGGCTGTGGATTTGGTAAGATCCTTCAGGGACTACATTGGAGGTTTGAGAGGTCAGTTTGACAGGTTTGAGTCGCAAGCAAAGGAGTTGTCTCCAACAGTTTCACATGTTTACAAAGGAAGCACTCAGAGACAAAAGAAAACAAATAAAAAAGGAGAAAGTGCCACCACTTCAGAGGTGGAGCAGTCAGCGAGACACAAATTCTCCACAAGTGTATTTTTGGTGGTGGCTGATAGACTACTTGCTGAAATGGATCACGGGTATGCTGCATATGATAACGTCAACAACACTTTTGGCTTCCCGAACCACCTTTCTAATGTCACCGCCCAAGAACTACGAAGCAAAGCCTCTAATCTCCAAAGAAAATATTGAGCCGGTCTGGAGATGGACTTTGTAGAGGAGATTGTCCAGTTCAAAGATTTTATTCAGAGTAGGAGCTTCACTTCTGCTCCATTACTTTAACAGTTAATCAGAGAAAAAAAACCTACAGAGCATCTTTCCGAATGTGGATATTGCATTTAGGCCTTACCTGACATTCCCTGTCACAAATGCAAGTGGTGAGAGATCATTCTCTAAGCTTAAAATTGTGAAGAACAGACTCAGATCAACAATGGGGCAAGAAAGACTGAATAGTTTGACTCTCATGTCCATTGAGAGTGATATTGTGAGAAGGCTGGACTTCAGTGATCTTGTCAATGACTTTGCTGCAAAAAAATCCAGAAAAGTAAGCATGTTTTCAAAATGCTGATGGGTTTTAAAAACTTTGACAAATGAGTGAAAGAGCTTGGTTGCCTGATCCATCTTTTGCTTTGAGCACAGTCTTCTGTCTTAGTGGCAGATAAGTATGCTTTTGCCTTTTGTTAATTTTTGTTTAAGTAATTTGACAGAAAAAGCAGAATTTGAATTGTATTAAAATGTTCAATGTGTAAATGACTACCTAATGTTAGGTTATTGACTCACACAGCTTTTAGAAGCCAAAGTTGAAATAACGTTTTCTTTCTATAAAATGCAAATCTGTTCATTCAAGGATTATTGTAGTGTGTGTGAATTGGTTCATTAAAGATGTGTGATCTAAAAAAAGTTTCTATTTTTAGTCCTTAAAATAATAAAGTAAAATTGTGTGTGTGTGCGTGCGTGCGTGTGTGTGTGTGTGTGTGTGTGTTCTGGAACAGTCCTCCTTCCTGCCTCCAAACGAAAGCCCTAACTAGAGGAATGAGCTCTGGTGTGGTCCAGTTTGGGTTCAACCGTCGTCTTACCTGATCCTGAAAGAACAACTAACAGATGTGTTTCTGCAGGAAGTTCAGTTCTGAGCTTCAGTTTCAGAACTTGGGTTTTATTGTAAAAGAACTCTGAGATTGTTCATCATGAGCTCATCGTGTTTTGGAGTTACCGGATTTTGCCTGCTGCTTGGACTTCTATCCGGTAAGAACACCAGTAGGTCTGGCCCCAGTCTGCTGGCCAGCAGCTACAAGAAACTTGTTCACATCATTAGGGAGGTTCTAGTTTATTGTTTGAGATGAAACCTGAATATGACAATATTAAGTAGCATTATAACTGGTAGTTTGTACCTGAAGCTGCTTAGTAACCACTACTCTTCTTACCTGTCGTCTACACACAGCTGGAATGGTGGGTTTAGATCGTGTTGGTCTGAATCACCTAGTTGTTACTGAGTAACAGGACAACATGACACCTGATCTGAAAACAGACTGAAGCTGCTCTTTAACCCCGGCACAAAGAGGACCAACAGTCTGGTCCACGTATTCTCACTCTGAGGGCTGATACTGATCTCATTCCTGATTCTTATTCAGTGTTGATCTGTCAAAACGTGTTTTCTGATTAACTTATGTTCCATAAATAAAATGTCCAGTGTGGTATGATGTCCATATGAACGAAGGTCAGACAAAGGTCAGACTTTTACATTCAGGTTGGTGAACACCGATTAGACCCTTCATGGCCGATAGTGATCAGCAGTTGATGTTTAGGTTCATCTCTAGTGACCGGTAGTCAGGTTAAAGAGAAGTGTCTTTGTCTGCGGTCAACTTCAGGACTCCTGAATTTGACCTGCTTTTGTGTCCAACTGAGTTCTGAGAAGACCTCCGGGAGAAGACGGAAAACCGATCCAGTCTTAGTCCATGCAGCCTGGGCTTTGTGCTTTTCAGTAAGAGAGAAAAACAGGTGTCTGGATGGTTGGCATAGCTCATTACGGTTTCTCTGATGCAACATTTGAAACAGTGTAGATTGAATTGGTTGAGGGATTTTTGGAAGGTAAATGTGAGTATTGTTTCATAATTAATGGTGCATAAGAGGTGAGTTTTACATAGTTTCATGTAAGATTTGGTGGATTTGTCATTCTGATTTTAGCCTTGAACACATCTGAGTGAAGTTTGATCTTTGAAACTATACTGATTTTATGTCAAAAGTGAGAAACATCTGTGTGCCTCTGGGTTCCAGTCTTTGGTCTGAGTCGATGTTCCTTTGACCTTCTGTTTCCTCTTCGTCAGGAAGTTGGTCCGTCTTCCCATTTCTTTTAATGTGGTCATCCAGCTTCATGGGAAGTTCAAACAATGGCATTCCTTTGGAGCAGGCCACAAATAGTCACAGGGCTTGGGCCTTTGTGCTGTGGTGTACTGGAGCAGCAGAATATGAATGAATTTGTAATTTAGGTTAGGGTTAGGAATAGAACCCCATTGGTTAGAGTTAGGGTTAGGCATTAGGCACTAAAAAGAATTATTTTTTATTTAATTACCTTCAGTGGTGGCTCCAGAATTTTTTTTCTGCAGGTGCTATGAAGGAGCTAGTCTTTTTATTGAGGGTGCTATGAAGGAAGTGGTCATGCGTACCTATTGTTCTCTAAAACACCTTCAACACTAGCAGATACACATGCGTGCACAAAACCTCAACAACACCTGAAACAATCATTAATATATATCATAAACATATGAACAATCGCTGACTTGTCCATGAAATCATAAACACATACAGCCAGACAGAAAACCGTCTATAGTGTTGCAAGGTTAGCTAACTTTAGTGTTAGCATTTCCAGTGGCAAAACCCTGGACTGCTGCGGCGGTTGAGGGTTGACTCTCTTCATCCAGATCCATAGGTTTTTGTGGGTCTGAGATCACTTCCAAAGATTCATTCGTTTCTGACTGAACCTGTGGAAATTTGGTTAACAAAAACCGATCCATTTTATCACTAGCTCTACCTTTCACTCGTTCGCAGGTGGAAAATGAGGTCAAAGGTTAACATCAATTTCCTGTTTTGGTTTACGCTTTCACTATCTATATGATAATTTACTGATTATTTTTGTTTTCTATGTTAAATTTTATCACATCCACACATTAAATTAAAATTAAATTGTAAAAAAAAAAAATCTAACATTTACTTGGGGGTGCTATGACTAATCCAGGGGTAGCTATAGCGCCCCCTAGCGCCCCCCTGGCGCCGCCAGTGATTACCTTTATTTTAATATTTAACAAATCGTTAACAAGCAGGTCACTTCTGTGAGATAGCCTGAAGAATCAAGTAATAAATAACACTCATTAGTCACCTTTGGACTTTATTGCAAATATAAAAAAGTCTAATATAAAATAAACTTTTCTGGCCGTGACAGGGATTTTTGGAAGGTAAATGTGAGTATTGCATCATGATTAATGGCGCATAAGAGGTTGAGTTTTACATAGTTTCATGTAAGATTTTGTGGATTTGTCTTTCTGATTTTAAGCCTTGAACACATCTGAGTGACATTTGGCCATTCCAACATTCGCCCGTGACATAAACAGACATTATTTTATGATCAAACAGATATTTTTTCTAACGTTCTTGGCATTTTTTCCCACACAAAGTTAAACAAAACAAGGTGTGTGTGTGTGTGTGTGTGTGTGTGTGTGTGTGTGTGTGTGTGTGTGTGTGTGTGTGTGTGTGTGTGTGTGTGTGTGTGTGTGTGTGTGTCAGGGGCACAACTACCTAATATCAGAGGAGTCTGCAGACACATCCAGCTGCTGTTATTTATTTGTTGTTGGTGTTTATATAGAAACTAAATCTAGCTGCAGGGCTTTAGGCCCAGGACAGTTTTACACCTCAGACCTACTTTAGATCCAGACATGTTATTAATATTATCACGTATTCTTTACACTAATTAGAATATTATGTAATGTTCACAGACATCCAAACCTTAGAAATGAAATTAAATCAATATTAAAATGATTAATATTCTTTATTAATTAAAGATCAGTTATCGTTGAACACGTTTTTATATATGACATCATCCAACTGAAGCAGACGTCTGCTTATTTCTAACACAGCTGAGCTGTGGGAGAAAATATTCAGGCTTATTTAATCTTGTTTTCCATCACCTGTGGGTTTAGTGCATTCACTTAATGATGTTGGGCCTTTTTTCACTCAAAGTTTCTACTAGTTCTTGATAAACACACCCCTTGGGCTAGTATAAAAGTTAGGGGTAGTCATTTACCTTGGATTAATACAGACCTAATAGCTCTCTTTAAGAGATATGACAAAGCCTGGAAGTTAGCAAAGCTTACTAATCTTCCTGACCACTTGTCAGAAGTTGGAAAATTAAGAAATTTGTGCACTACTCAAACAAGGAATGCAAAGACTGATTTCCACAAGAACAGTTAGCACAATGATTTTAAGAGTCCCAAGCAATTTTGAAATAAATTTAATGACCTATGGGGGAAAACTGCAACTAAAACCAGAATTAACAACTTTAACATTATTGGTGAGCTTTCCAATGATCCGGGTATAATTGCCGAAAGCTTTAGTAAGTATTTTTCTTCCTTTCCCCAGACTGACTTGAACATTCCTTTGGGTCCCCACGCCAGGTCTCAATGCTGCTCTAGTCTTTTAACTTTCTCTGAAATGGACCAACTTGTATGTATGTAAAATCTATCTCATCACTCAATATGGTCAATCCTAATGGTATAGAGGGTAGATTTGGGACCATTGCTGCTGATGTTCTTGCCTTCCCCCTGTCAATACTTTTTAACCTCTCCATTGATTCATGCACTGTTCCAAAAGCATGGAACGTAACTAAGATAATCACATTGCATAAGGGGAGCGATAACCAGGTACTTAACAATTACCAGTAGCCAATACCAATAGCAATAGCTAATACTATTGTGAAAATATTTGAGAAATTGATCTTTACCCAGTTATCTGATTATCTGGATACTAATAATTTACTTTCCCATTGTCAATCTGGTTTTTGTCACAACTGTACTGGCGGACCCATAAAAATACCCAACACAGAATGCACATATAAAGTTTATTTAAAGGGAAAGGGAATGGAGGCGGGAGCAGGCAAAAGGCTTAGCCAGGAGGCAGTCAGGAACGTTAACAGGAGATCAGAGAGTCGTAATGTTCAGACTGGGAAATCCGAAATCAAGGTCAGCGGACAAGGCAGGGTCAGGGTCCGTGGATCCAAAGAACTGGAAATCCAAAAGGGGCGAGATGAGGCGGAAGGTCAGAGGATGAGGCGAGGTCGAGATCCATGGAGGCAAGGTAGATAAAGATGGTTTGAGAATCTACTGACAGGAGTGTTCGATCATCTGGCAGTGAGTAGATAGCAGGATGGTTCTTATAGAGCAGGAGGAACAGGAGAATGGAATGGGCTGATTACGCAGGAACAGGTGTGGTGAATGAAGCCGTCGAGGAGCAGGCTGAGGTTGCTGAGGAAACGGGGCAAGGCCGGAACTGGAGCATGACAGTTTTAGAAAACATTTCTCCACTACATCTGCTCTTCTTAAATTCACTAATGACATTTTAATGGGCTTTGACAATAATTCGTGGGTGGTGCAGTTTTCGCTTTCAGTTTGGTTGACCATTATTTACTTCTTGACAAACTGTATGCCATTGGCCTTTCAAGGTTGTCATTATTACGGTTAAATTCACTTATTCACCATCAATCGCAATATGTCTCATTTAATATGCATGAATCTTATATGCGTGCGGTTGTCAGAGGAGTTCCTCAGGGTTCCCCTCTGGGGCCTTTGCTATTTTCTAATGTTATTAATGATTAGCCTTTAAGCTGCACCTCCTGTTCTGTTCATTTGCATGCCGATGATGCAGTTTCATATTCCACCAAGCCAAATAATTAAGAATTGTGTGAGATCCTGCAATCAAATTTTAACAATGTGCAGTATTGGTTAACTCAAAATAAACTCATCCTGAATGAATCTAAAATATATTCAATGTCGTTTAGAGTTGGTTTTACTTTGGAGTTCCGTATTATTTTGGAGAGGTTTACCTTCTGAAAAACCTCCTGTTTTTAGCCACAGCCAGATTAGAAGGCGAGACAAGCATTTTCCTATTAAGTCATCAGTGATAATATTAATAATCCCCATGTTCTGTGGCTAACTAATCTCCCAGCACAGTTAGCCCCGGACTTCATATCTCATACCAGATGTGATGAGTTTGCATCGTTCTTCAATAAAATAATCACAAACATTAGATCAGCCATTCATTCCTCTACATCAACTAACACAAGCAGACCACAGACACAGCCGCACAACAACAACCTGGCCAGAATGCCAACTTTAACCCTGATTAGTACTAAAACACTGAATGACACAGTAAAGACCCTAAATTCCTCAACCTGCTGTCTGGACAGCCTGCCTACAAACTTCTTTAAAAAGTTTTAGTTGTTTAAAAGCTGATGTAGTGGAAATTGGTTTTGGCTCGTTGCCTTCATTTGAACCCTTTGAACTGATTCAGACCTGAGCTTCACTCGTTACATTGCGGCTATAACTAGATCAGTTTTTTATCTTCTGCATCAAACAGCACGACTCAGAGGTCTCATGTCCAGACAAAACCTAGAGAAACTAATTCATGTGTTCATCTACAGCAGGCTGGACTACTGCAATGGTCTTTTGACTGGCCTTCCCTAAAAAGCTGTGAAGCAACTGCAGCTTATTCACAATGCTGCAGCTAGAGTCTTAAGAACCAGGAGAATCGAGAACATCACTCCTGTTCTTAAATCTCTGCACTGGTTACCAGTAAACAGAATCGACTTCAAAGTACTTCTACTAGTTTTTAAACCACTCAGTGGCATGGGACCAAAGTACATGTTGGATCTCCTTCCTGTATCTGCACCCAGCAGGGCTCTGAAATCCTTATGGAAACAGTCAGCTGGTAGAAACGGGTCAGAACCAAACAGGGTGAAGCTGCTTTTAGCTACTATGCTGCTCACAGATGGAACCAGCTTCCTCATGACCTCAGATGTGCCTTTGTATGAATGTCTCTAATGCTGCACCTTCTGCACTGTAACTGCTCAGCCTTTAACTTTGTTTCTTTTAATTTCTAAACTGTATTTTTTGTCACTGTGATTTTAATGTTCTTTTTAATGGAGAGCACATTGAATTGCCTGGGTGTGACATGTGCTTTATAAGCAAAGCTGCCTTGCCTTTTCCTTGGCGGTATACTGTATCAGAGGCCCTAAATTGTCACTTTTTAACTTTGAGCAACATGTCTTTACAGGAGGTTCCAGAGTTTGGGCAGAGGAAATACCGCCTCGCATAGTCCACCAACCATCTGATGTGGTGGTGAAAGTCGGCCAAACTGCCACCCTATTCTGTCGGGCAGAAGGCAGCCCGAAGCCAACTGTTGAATGGTTACGTAACGGACAGCCTCTGGAGACAGCAAAGGCAGAAGGCCAGCTTCAGCCCATGGTTCTGTCAGAGGGGAGTCTCTTCTTTTGGAATGCAGGAGGCGGCCGGCATGGTCCGTCACATGAGGGTGTCTACACTTGTGTTGCCAGGAACTCTGTTGGTGTGGTCATCAGCCAGAATGCATCGATTCATTTAGCAGGTAAGATCACTGTTAAAGTTCTACTTTCAGTACTATAAAAACTGCTCAGAGAAAAGGTTTTCCACTTTCTACCTAAGCCTAATTTATACGTCTCCTTCCGTGTGGGGACGGACGCATGCAACACCGTTATTCGTCCTCGTGAGCCTGTTGGAGAGTCCTCGCAAGGACGGAGTCGAACTCTCTTTTCGAAACATCCGTCTGTCTTGACAGAACGCAAGCTTGTGATTGGTTAGGACACCACTGTCGTCTACAGCGCCGCCATTGTGCCCTCAAAAACATAAAGAGGAGGAGGATAACTAGCAGCAGAAATTGAGAAGCTTGAAGAATACCCCGCGGAAAAACTCTAAAATAATAATGTTTTATTCCCCTGTGAATGATGGAGTGAGAAGATACACAGCAAGTGTTTTATTTATGGGTGGAAATGATGGGAAATGTGAGTTTAGAGGTGGGGAGCACATGCAGAAGTGGAGGAAAATGAGAGACATATGTGTCCGTGTCAAAAAATCTCCTATACAAAAAACACAATATAAACACACCACTTTGGACCAGATGCATGACAGGATACCACAGAGCAGCACTACCCCCTCTGCCGTCCCAGTGGGGAATTGCTTTGCAACACTCCCCAAGAGACTGAGAAGTCTAAGGACAAAATGTCTCCATCCATGCGTGTCTCTACCTCATGGAGCTGATGGAGACGTATAAATTAGGCATTAGCTCTCTCTCTCTCTCTCTCTCTCTCTCTCTCTCTCACTCACTCTCTGAATGAATGAATGTGTGTGTGTGTGTGTGTGTGTGTGTGTGTGTGAGAGAGAGAGAGAGAGAGAGAGAGAGAGAGAGAGAGAAAGAGAGAGAGAGAGAGAGAGAGAGAGAGAGAGAGAGTGATACTGATGTGTCTAGGGTGTCTCTTTCTCTCTCTCTCTCACTCTCTCTCTCTGAATATGAAAATGTGGTTTGGATGCATAAAAAATAAATAGATACTGAGTCTGGCTCCCAAGACTGATACTTATTTCATTAGAGGCCTGAGGCCTGAGGCCTCTAATGAAAGATGGCCTTCATTTTCAGTGAACGTTTCTAAGTCAGAGTACTCCAAAGCCCTTTACACTGGTCAGTCACAACCATTTCATAGTCATCCACATAGCGCTTCACATGCTGATGGGGATGACTGTAGCGACAGCTGACCTGGGGTACTCTGACAAAGGCGAGGCTCCACCAGGCCCTTGTTAAGGTATTTGGTGTAGGAGACAGTTAACATGTACCAAAAAAGTATATAAATGTAAACGCATTCTGAACATATAGTGTGTGTATGATATGAAAGTGTTCGAACGATTGAATGAGTGCATTCATCCTGAATGGAACTACTTCCATCTATTTGCTGTTATTTTAAGAGAGTGGAATGACCTACCAATTTCTACCAGAACAGCCATAGATCTGCAGACTATTTCTTACCCTAGAACCTTTCCTTTCTAGCACTTGACAGCAGTCTTTGTGCATATCCCTTTGTGCTCTGTACACTCTATTCTGTTCTTCCGTCTCTGTAGCTTGTTGTTAGCTTTGATAAAAACTGTATGGACTGTTGGGGTTTTATGTGTTTAGGCCATGACAAGATTTCTTTAGAGTTGTCTTTTGCAGATCGAGTGTTTGTGGTTCCTGCGCCTTTATTCGTGGTCCAGCTCAGGTTTCCTTGTATTTGCAGTGCTGCGGGATGAGTTTGATGTGCAACCCAGTGATGTGGTGGTGGCTGAGGGGGAGGTTGCAGTTTTCAACTGTGTTCCCCCAAAGGGACACCCAGAACCTGATGTTATCTGGAAGAAGGATGGTGTGCCCATCAACAACACTGATCATCACTTCACAGTAGGTTCTCTGTTCCTCTGGGAATCTATCCTCTTTTATTAAGACTTGTTGCTGTACTTGATGTGCAACCAAATTAAAGTCTTGGTCACATCATACTTTGTTCTTTTGTTCTATAACACAGGCAGAAGCTATGTTTCCATTATCAGAACTTCAGAGTAACGTCTGTGAGGGGGAAACTAACCGGGGATATGATGGCCCGGTCCACTCAGAATCAGAAGGGGTTTATTGCCTTATGTGTGAGAAATCGCAACATTAGGAAATTGCTGTCGTACTTGGTGCAAAAAGAAAGAAAAAATAAGAGATAAGTAAATATAGGAAGTAAGAATATAATCATGCAACTGCAGCTCAGACTACCCACCCTTTTTGGAGTCCTTGGAGGGGGTGAGGAGTTTATTCTACTTTGCACAGTTGGTTGTAGGAATAGTTTACTTAGACTACCGTAAATCCTCTAATATTGGCCTGTATTCAATTAACGGCCGGGTATCACATTTTGGCCGGTGTCGGAGTCGGCGGAGGTGAATAATGGCCGGTATTTTATTGTGGCCGGGTGGAATGTGGTGACAAGCAAGTACCACAGGGGGGGGGGGGGGGGGGGGGGGTTGTGTCATCCATCTCACTTTTGATTTGCCATTGATAGACCACGATTTGGCAGGTGCGGAGACAAAGAGGAGGCGAAAATTTGATATCAAGTTCAACGAGAACGTGCTGATTATGCTGCAGAACACTGGGGAGCAGTAGGGGTTGTATGAACTAGTCGACTTCACTATAGTGACTTTTTATGCCTGCCATCGACTAGTCGCTGTCACGCGATAATGACCGGCAAGATACAGCCCTCGGAAAAGACAGCAGCCTGCTGCCAGCAGGTGACAAGCTGCTGCACGTGGGGGGGGGGGAACGCTGTACCAGAGCGTCGGTACTGACACCTGCCGTAAAACGGACATTTAACCAAATTGTGACCTTTTCCCTCTTAGAATTTAACCTTCCCCTCACCCCATCCTAACCTTAACCAGCTTGCGTCCTGAGCATGGCCACAGTAACATTATCAAATCAGGTGTCGCCACCTCAAAAACTAATTTAACACACGATTGTTCATGTCGGCTCATTTCCTTTAATGTTTTCTGTCTTTTATTTGCGCCTTATGCGTTTAGCTGCTGTGGAGTGGGGCGCATCACCTTGTCCTCCGGTGACGCACCTCACTGATGAGGCCGCCAAGCAGCGAGCACTCTGCTGTTTTTGCAGTCGGTAGATCTTTTAGATCTGCAGTTCAAAGGTAACTCATAAGGTGAATATATATGAACCCAGGTAGCAGTTTTTCTTTAGGACTGAGAGGAGATGCAGGAAGATAATAAACAGATACAGGATAGAAAAATAGTCAAATAAAAACAAGATAGTTTTTGTACCTGGTGGTTGCAACAAACAGACACCATTGAAGGTAATCAGAAGTGAGGAACAGAAAATGAAATAATTTTAATGTTTAGAGCAGCAGGAACTCTGAGAGAATGCAGGCGCATCAGTAAGTTTGCAGCCGCTGCGCAGGGGGAGGGGGGAGAGGGCTGAAGCAGAAACTACCGTTGTTAAAAGAAATGTGTTTAACTTTGAAAATGTGGGCGCAATTTGAATTGTCAAAAACTCCAGCGAACCATTAGTTCATTTTGCTCAAATAAAAATAGAGGCCTGCCTCTAATTCTGGTCCTCCTTCCAATAAAGGCCTGGAGCTTGATGAGCTTGAGTCAAATACAGGCCTGGGCCTGTATTAGAGGATTTACAGTCATTTTAACTGCTTTGATGGCTGGAGTAAATCCAGGTTTCCATTAGGGAGATAATGTTTGTTCCGTCTGTCACAGGAGCTGAGTGGGAAGCTCGTTATCGCACCTACAGAGAAGAACCAGTCTGGTTCGTACATCTGTGTGGCCAGGAACGTTGTGGGGGTGAGAGAGAGCAGAGCAGCTCGGCTCTCAGTGTTGGGTGAGACAACGTTAAAACCTCCAAACTCCCATCATCAACCAGACATGATACCTGTCTACATACCAGAGAGCTCCCAGACAGGGTGTATTAATGTCCACTTCTCTTGTCTCAATGCAGCCAAGCCAGTGTTGGTGCTAAAGCCAGAAAATGTGTCAGTGAGGAAAGGAGATTCTGCTCACTTCCACTGCAAAGCTACAGGTGACCCTCCACCAGTTGTCTTCTGGAGCAGAGAGAGGGGAACGCTTCCCTATGGCAGGTATGGAACGCCCTGGACCTCAACAACACCAGTCAATCAGTTGTGTTGTTGGACTAAAGAAAAATCAACAATTTCTACTGTGTATGACAACAACATATGCTGGTGAAGGTTCTCAGTCATCTAGGTCACAGTAATCCAAAAGGGTTCAGCCGAGGTCACACCCTTATGCACCTAATTAACGCATCCACTCCCTCACAATAGAGGCTAACGACTCATAAGGAGGTAGGAAGAAGGGGCTTTCAGAGTGAGTTTCTGCTCATTAAGCAACAACAGACAGCTACAGCTTATAAGATAGACCGTCCCAGAATTGACAAAAATTCTTGGATGAGAAGCAAAACATCTTCAAGAAACAAAAGAAGTCTTCATCTGAACCCTTTTGGACAACAACATATGTTTCCGTATGGAAATACAATTCCATCTAATATTGCTGTTCATATTTGGATGAGACAACTGCTTTTTACTTTGGTATATTTTGGTTTAAGTGCAGAACAGGAATATTTTAATCCATATAAATAAAAGAAACATGGTCATCTCTGAACCTGAAGAAGTTGCCATGGTGACGTTCCATGCAGCTGGTCCAGTAGCTGTAGAGTTCCCGGGACTTTGCTGCCTTTTAGCCCTGACGCCACAGATCTTGGATAGCTTTGTCTGGTCTGTTACGACCACGTAAGTAACGTTGCTTACATGGTCGTCTGTGAAGCCGGGAACAGGTGGTGGTTTCATCGCGTTCAAACGAGGACAACTGTCATCAGCGTCAGTGTGTGTTTGTGTGTGTGTGTGTGTGTGTGTGTGTGTGTGTATGTGTGTGTGTGTGTGTGTGTGTGTGTGTGTGTGTGTGTGTGTGTGTGTGTGTGTGTGTGTGTGTGTGTCTGTGTGTGTAAAACAAGAAAAATCAAAGGCAGCACAGCCCTGATGAAAAGGGGCTTGGGCAACCAATCACACTTTTTACAATACCACGCACCTTCGTCTAATCTGGGCTAACTAGTATTTATTAGATAATAAAGAAACATGGAGAGAAAGCACTCACCCTTACGGCTTCGCTTAATAACTAGTTAAAGTTTCAGAGATTTGAGCCTATTCTCTTTGCTCTTCCATCTCCAGGTATGTGGTAAACTCAGACCAGAGTCTGCAGCTCCATTATGTGATGGTCGAGGATACTGGAAGGTACATTTGCAATGCTGTCAGTGAGGCTGGCGTTGCCATGGCCAGTGCACAGCTTCAAGTAGAAGGTAAAGCCATCCATCTGTGTATACACATATCATCACTGATTGGCAAAAACCCAACAACTATATTTCATGGATTCATGGATATTTTGCGGATTTCTCATGAAAATGATCAAAAAGAGACCGTGACTTGTGACCTCACATGTTTTCTGACACAAACACTCTCTCCCTTTCAAATCCGCCGCTGCTTACCATCAACTTTGTTAGACACATCAGCAACAGCAATCTTTAGCAACAGAAGGCAGAACATGCAAGCAAGTGGGGACTTTTCTCCAGAGAACCAACTCGAGACAATTCAGTAGAAGAACGAGGTGTGGAACAGCAGACTTGTAAGAAGTCTGTGACAGTCATTCACCACGGCGTTTTTTTCAATTATGGCAGACTGGATCCAACTCTTGAGCATTCAGGGAAACATTTCAACAGCACCAGCAGAGTGGAAAACAGAAGCTTGATTGTGTTGCATGTGTCTGGAAGAGAGAAATGCATCAAGCTTAGCAGAAGTAAGCTGACTTCCATTATCAGACACAATTGCTCGAGGGCTTCCAAACCTGCTGTAAGCTGAAGTGAGGAAGCAGATTACTTACTCAGCAGGAACAGAAGCTGTAGAAACTCCATGTCACATTAATAGCATGTCACTGAACCAAGCTGTTGTTCCCTCATGTTTCAAGTTTGCCACTATCATCCCAGCACCCAAGAAACCAATCATTACAAGTCTTAATGACTTCTGCCCAGTTGCACTAACACCAATCATTATGAAGTGCTTTCAGCGGGTAGTTACGGACCAGTTTGCATTCCTTTCCAGCCGGTCCACTGAGGATGCCATCTCTACTGCTCTCCACCTAAGTTTGGAACATCTTGAGGACAAGAACACCTAAGTACAGATGCTGTTTCTGGATTTCACCTCAGCAGTGAATACAATCATTCCCCAGGACCTTGTATGCAAACTAGGCCTCCTGGGCTTCAACGTCCTCTTGTGTAACTGGCCGCTAGATTTTCTCACCCATAGAACACTGTCGCGTGCACGTCCCATTTGCCGGTTCCGTTAGAACCCAGTTCCGTTAGAACTTATGAGACTGTGCATCTTTCAGGGTTCAGTGGGGATTTCGGTGAGTATTATCGTATTAGACCCTGGTTTGGGCGTTCTAGGTTAGAATCATATCTTTTATTTTAAAGGTGAATTAATATGCAAGACTTTTCCTTCTGTAGTAGCTCACTTCCTTTTAAGCAATCCCGTTATTTTTTGGTTAAAATACTAGGGCGAAGCCTGGAGAAAGGCCAATTCTTCCAGCAATTCTTTGGGTTATTTGAAATAATTGCGCCTCTAACAGCTTATGTGGGTGGTTGGTAACTATAAAATGATTTTTGTTAGTTGATCAGGCTAACATAAATTTATCAATTTATTTAATTAATCCAACCCTCCAGCTGATAGAGACTTTTTCAACTTGCGAATCAGAGCCAAAATTAACCACTAATGTTCTGGTTTTATCATCCTTAAGACAACCCGTCACTCGCGGGTGAGGGAGGAGTCAAGCTCCCCTTATCTTAAGGTTTCTTTATATTAATTCGTCACAAACCGTAAAGTAAGTTCTGATAATTCAAGAACCCATAATTAATATGCTTACCTCTGTGCAATTAATGGTCAGGGCTCCCACTCGTGAAGCTTTAGAGAAAACCTGAAATAATCAGGATTATGTTTCTTTTTCAAAAAAGTTTATTACAAAATCAAAAAATACAAAAATGAGTAAAGATAAAAACAAATGCTTTCCCCCAAGGAGGGATCAGTTCTAATGACCACGACTTGATTTACACCAACTCGGTCTTCTGAGAATCGCCCCAAAACTTCTCCAAAACTCTTGTGTAAACTCCTCTCAGCTCTGCTTCTCTCCAAAAAACTGACCTATCATCCCCCATCCAGAGGATGGGGGATGACCTCACCAAATCTGCTCTGTCTCTCTCTGTCGTCTGCCCCAGCTGCTTGTCGAGTCCCTCAATCTTTCTCTGCTGTTCAGAGCTGTTCTTATATACCCTTCCTGGGCCAGCTTAGACAATGTAAAAGTCACATATGTCATTATCTCATGACGGTGAGGTCATGAGGTCATTTACCAGATACACTTTTTAGCTCAACATAAAACATCTGGTGTCATTATTACTTCATGCAGCATTCACATGAGGGCACAACACGTTATATGCAGCACTCTTTCATTGGAGCACAGGTCATAAATCTTCATGTTTGTAGCAAATTGTAGGTCTTCCTTCAGCATTCCTGAGAACTTCTGGATCTGATGGGTTTGTCTTCACTCTGTTCTCCTCCAATCCCATCTTTCCAAGCCAGGGGTGGATCCAGGGGTGGGGCCAGCCTCCTGACCTTTTGCCTAGTTCTGTCCATGACAGCAAGTTCTGAACTCTTGTCCTCTTGACCCTCCTGTGACCCTTGTTTCTGACCACAGTTTTTTGACCTGCAGCCCAGCTCCTGTCGGCTGGCTGATTTTGCTCGCACAAGCCAGTTCAGTGTGTTTCAGCTTGCCACCGTCTTTGGCATGTGGGGACTGGCAACAACACAATCTGTCTGGGTGGGTAACAGCATCTCCAGCGTCATCTCCCTGAACACAGAACCAAAGCCCTTTTCAGATAGACATTCTGGACCATTTGGGGACAATTCAATCCGCTTTTTAACCTGAACTGTGTTTTCAGACACACCACTTTTGTACCGGAACTTGTCCTTTCGGCTGCGTTCACACAGCAGGGAAAAGTTCCAGATGTCTGACGGCGGCGGGGGTGGTGGGGTGGGGGTGGGGGGGTAGGGGGAGAATCGGACTTATGTTAAGAAGAAGAAGAAGAAGAAAATATCATTTCTATAGCGCCTCTCAAGATGAAAATCATGAGGTGCTTAAGCATAATTCTGTGCACACGAAGACGCATAAGAGACCTGGATGATGAAGCTCAATGGTTAAAGGAATCACTGAAGCGGTGTGAAGCGCTCCGTCGCGCGTCTAGACGGTACCGTAGGAGGCGAGCTGCCGTGGTTCGCCGCATGCTATAGCAGCAGGCTATCTAGGTGCGCACAGCATCCCCCGGTCCCCTCCTCCTCCCCCTCCTCCCTGTCCGGAACTTTACCTCACCAGTCTGAAGCAGCCACCCTGTCCGTAACAAGTCCGGACCTGTTACTAGGGGCTTCGTCCGGTAAAATTCCGGAACACGTTATCCGGATGTTTGTATTCAGACACATAGGTCTTACGGACAGAGTCCGGAACATTTCCGTTTTTCATGGCCTGTCTGAAGGGGGCTTTAGAGCTGCGGAACGGAAATGGCACAAAACGAAAGATCCTGCTGATCTATTGAAATTCCAGGCATTACTGCCCTCATTCTCCACCAGCATCACTGATGCAAAGAAAACTTTCTACACTGACAACATTCTCAGCTCTACTGACACTCAGAAACTATTTTCAACATTTAAAACTCTACTTAACCCTCCACCTTCACCACCTAACAGCAATCTATCGGCAGACAGCTTTGCCTCATTCTTCACTTTGGGCTAAGATGGCCGAGTGAGTGGTTGACTGATCTCAGCTCTCAGCCTCTCCCTGTTCAAAACCTACCAACAACTACTAAAGTCGTGGTTTGATGATCTTTTTGTCTTTCTGATTTCTTTTTCTTTTTAGTGGACTCAAATACATTCTGCATCCATTTTTGTAAGTCCGTGTTCTCTTTTACCAGCATTATAAAGCCTCCCAAACGCTTGCCAAAGGACGCTGTTGAAGATACCGACAAGTCAGCCAAAGAGCTGGAGGTTACCCTCCAAAAGTTTTTTTCTGAGGCTGAAAAGAGCTCTAAAGAATACTTTGATCATCTCGAATCACAGCTCAGCTCAATTAAATTAACTATTGACAAGCATGCTAAGGAGCTTGAATCTCGGAAGCAAATAACTTCTTCCCTTGAAGTTCGTGTGAGACGTGTGGAAGATGTGATCTCGACCCATAATGAGGATTTGCTGAGAATGCAAAAGAAGCTGGTTGCTGTTGAAGATCAAAGCAGGAGGAACAACCTCTGGATCATTAACCTGAAAGAAGGAATCAAGCTCGACCAGGCTCTTTCCTACCTTAAGTCCAATCTCACGGCCCGGATCCCTGATTCTGCCGGCGTCTCCTCCCGAGATGATGCGGACGCATCTGGTTGGCTCCCCTCACAGCTTGACCTCTCCTCGGACCATGTTGGTCTGCTTTCTCCGTGCGGCTGACAGAGATCGGATCCTGAACTTGGCGAGGAAGTCACAGGTATCATGGCTGGCAAATCCATCCGCTTTGCTGTAGATTACAGTGATGGCACCACCCGTCGCAGACGCCGCTTCTTCCCGGTAGTGAACTGGGATTGCGCATTGGGGCTACAAGCTTTTTTGCTTTATCCAGCCACCATAAAGCTGATCAAATGATTGGATCAGCTCCTGTTTCCAGACCTAGTAGAGGCCGAGAAACACTTGGACCTATTCTGGTGCCTCTGGCGGACCGTTAAGCTAGCCTTGGACGGATCTGAGGATTCTTCATCTCCTAGACAGGATATTACTAACTTTGTTCTCTCGTCTCGTCTTCCTCCGCTTATCCGGGTCCGGGTCGCGGGGGCAGCATCCCAACTAGGGAGCTCCAGGCCGTCCTCTCCCCGGCCTTGTCCACCAGCTCCTCCGGCAGGACCCCAAGGCGTTCCCGGACCAGATTGGAGATGTAACCTCTCCAACGTGTCCTGGGTCGACCCGGGGGCCTTCTGCCGGCAGGACATGCCCGAAACACCTCCCCGGGGAGGCGTCCAGGAGGCATCCTGACCAGATGCCCAAACCACCTCAACTGGCTCCTTTCGATCCGAACTTTGTTCTGTTAATGCAATCCCACGGACTGCAGATTTAAGGTCTGTTTACTTTATACTGTTCTTAATTTCTAGCTTCAGCCTCCTTTGTAAATCTTATTTCTGATTAGGTTATTCATTTTGGTGGCCTTAAGTTAAAATGAGCAGGGAGTGAG